AAACTTCAACTGCGTGAAACACACAGTAGTATGAAACTTCAACTGCGTGAAATACACAGCAGTATGAAAATTCGGCTGCGTGAAACACACAAACTTCACGCATGCGTGGAGTGTACGGGAGTGATTCACGCAATGGTGCGAATAGTCACGGCCATAACAAAACACTACCTTCTCATGGGAAGTGACAGCTAGGTATCTTAATTTTCAAAACAATGGTATGTAGTCGTCTGCCAGTTTTATGTTATAAAAGTGTGATTAAAAAATTCTCCAAAATATTACAACTTTTTTCAAAGAGCCTTTTCCGTAATAAATGTCTCTGTGCAGTGTCGGAAAAGATTTACGAAATCAATCTTCCCCCTGAATGCTATTGGGTGACAGGCCGCCATTTGTCACCGTAAATCACATTTTTCAATTTCTTGTTATTCAACTTATTCTGAATATAAATTAAAAATGCTCTTTGAAAAAATTAAGAATTTCTTCTACTTTTTTTTTATTATTCATTCATAATTTTTCAAAACTTCTGCATGATGCAGGACTTAATTGACGATTTCAGATGTCGAAAGATAAAAAAAAAACATCGAGATAACGTTCGAAAGATAGTACACTCGGGTCTTAATTGAAATTCGAACATAATAAATAATTCGTAATTTAAATGTTCTATTAACTACTGAGTAAGTAATTCTAGATTTCATAAAAGATTTTTCGGTTAGACATGTAATCTTCTGGCACGATTACTGGTTGATAGATTATTTCGGAATTTGAATATTCGAGTGGGAATTTGAATATTTGATTGTTATCTCGATTTTTTGCTTCTGGATAGAAGCACGGAAATCGTTCTATTTTTAGATGTTCTAATTTTGCTTGAAAATGATGTTAAAAGTTGACAAAAAAATTTTTTTTCGCTTGAATCGCGTCAAACAGTCATTTTTCGACTGTTTCATTTTACCCATTCTATCTAATGATTCTAGTGGGATCTAAGGTCATTATTTGTCACAGTTGTCAATGGCTGTCAGATCATTGGTTGCCATGATAAATTATCCACTTACAATTTCCAATATATCGGACTTATTTCCTAATCTTTATTACAAACTCTCATAAGAATATGTCTATTTCCATGGTATTTAGCAATATATTCACCAAAGACTCACCTCGAGGACAATTTAACTAGTCTCATTTCACCATTTTCTACCCAATTTACTCTTTGATAATAAAAAATGTTCATGTACTTGAAATTCTTTGGCAGAGTCCTGCTGCCACTGGGGCAGTTTCTCCAACTCCTCGCGGTAATACTTCTCCGCAGCTGCGACGTGAGCTGCCAAACAATGGGAATGGAAATGATGATAACACTCGGTTTTGGTGAATTCATCCCCCTCTCGAAAACCGTAGAGACACACGGCGCATTGACCAGTTGGAAGATTACTCCGAGTTAAGTGTTCACGTACCAACTAAAACCATTAACGATTTACCTATTAAGTAATTAACGATTAACAAATTAATTATTGAACAGAGCGATATCTGATTATTTTAAATTTTTTATTGAAGAATAATTTTGAACATCTTCTCCTCTAAAATTCGTAGAAATTAATTCTGAAAATGAATGAATAAAGGAATAAGATAATTAATTGAATGAGAATGAATAAATGAAAAAAAATAATGAATAATTAGTTAAATTATATAATCAACTGATGAATTGATTATCTCATGAATCAATCATTTCTTAAATTATTTTTTTTTCTAAAAATGCAGAAAAAAAAATGTAATTTTTTATGAAAAATAATTTTTTGAAATTTAAGAAAGAATCGAATATTTGATTTAGTAATTCTCCATTCGTTTTCTGAATGATTTTGTCATGATAAAAATTGAAAGATTCAACAAAATGAAATGAGTACACATGTGAGAAAAAAAATTCTTATAGTTAATAATGATTAGTTGATTATAAATATAATCAACAAGCTAGTGGATTCAGATGTTGCAGAGTACTGAAATAATTTCTTGGTTATGATAATAAATTGAGAAAAAAAAATGGAAAAATCGTCAACAAGTATTCGTTGATCTGCATAACAGAACTTATCAAATAAAAATCTATTATGAAATATTGAGGAAGTGAAAAATACGCTGAAGAGTGTGATTTACTCGTGTAAACCTATCACAAATTGCATCAGACTCCTTAGTATGGGTAATGCCATGCCGACATGAGAGTAAAATTCATCAACCGTATCGTTTTACGAGATTTCACAGGCTCCATGCTTTCACTGCTGAGATAATCATACATTATTAGATTATTATTATTATATCGAGAGGCAGAACAACAAACAAGTCGACCAGATTTTCATTTTTAATGAATTGTTTGACTTCTGGAATGAGTGATTCTAGTACGAAATGTCAAGAGATCATGTTTTTTTGTTGTTTAAAGTCCTTAACTCTACAAGATTTATTTACACTATCAGTCATGTTCTATTAACTAAATAAAAATATTTACATTTCTTACAATTATTAATTTTAGATATTTAGTCTATTATTTATGATGAATTGTATAGTATTTTAAGGCTTAAGAGATCATGTTGGGACTTCAAAAATTGAAGACTAATATCTTTTGCTTCTAAATGGAAGCTTTGTAATCGTTCAAATTTAAGTATTGGATTTTTGGATGATTGTCTAATTGACTTTTCATTATCAAATTCATTGATTATTTATTTATTGAATAATTGAACAACTGACGGTCAATGGCTTTTTGGAAATTCTCTTCTTTCATTAAAAATTTATAAAAATTAAATTATGGTGTGGATGAGTGTAATTTTATAAATATGAATAAAATCTCACTTTCTTCACAGACAATTTCATGATATAAAATTGACATTCGGTCCTTCAACGAGTCATCTCTTTCTAATGAATTATTCAGAAAGAGATTGAAATAAAATTATATTTTCTCCGAGGAAAGATGTGGAAAAATAGCTTGATGCTGCAAATTACCTCGATGAGCTCAAACATAACAGGTTGTCCTAAAAAATCGTTGCATTTGTCCTCCACCTCGTGCTGAATGAGTTTAACAGTGTCCTCGTCCAACCCTCGAGGGTTTTTCAACGTTACCACTGGAGAGACGTCTGGGTATCCCGGAGATAGATAAACTACGAGAGTTACGCAGACGTATTGCGACTGAGAATCTTCTCCAGTTGAAGGGAACACTAGAGTTTCAATTACTTCTGGAATTCCTCTGCAACAGAACAGGTCGAATTCACACATGAATAATTCAATAAAATTCTTCTCCAACACTCGAAATATCTCGTTTCCAATCAACAATAAACAATTACCTCTCATTCTCCTTCACTTTCAGCTCATTATCCAGTAGAATTGCTCCCAATGCCTCGATCTCATCAGTGACTCTACGAAAAACAACCCAAGAGATCATGAAGACTGAATAATCATGTGCCGAAATTACCGAAAATTTCTAAATATTTATTACCTCTCATCAATTTCAATATTCGACATGTTTCCACTTCGCCAAAACTGATTTCTTTATTTGTGGACAATATATCTTGTACGTCACTTAAAATCTCACTGTTATTGAGGACTGGTAATCGCTGATTGTTATTGAAACGTTATTTTCGGTAAATTTGATAAAGTTTCTAAATAACCATCGAATATTTCGATTATTTTCAGTAGAACTTTATTTGACTCAGTTAACATTTGACAAGAGGGGTTTTCCGCCCGGTAACACCGTAAATCACTGACAATCACACGAAGGCTTGGGATATTTATTTGAGAGGAGGATATATTGTTTAATTAGTTGATAGTTAATTGATGGAAAATGTCGAAATGGGGGATTTTGGGCTCAACAATATTTTTTGTGCATAATCAACGTTGTGAAGGGAAAAGTGGGGACAGTAATGGCGGTGGTTGAGGCACGGAGTGGGAAATTTTGGAGAGGTGGGGACTATGGATTTACGGGGGAGTTTGTGGCGCGAGAGGACGCTAGTGTGAATTTCCACTTCAAATTAGAGATTTAAAAAAATGCGGGCGGCTGTGTCTTTTTGAAACAGCTGTAATTGTACGTGGATACGTCTGTGTTCTTTCGTTCTCTCTTGAATTTCCTAGAAACTCCTTGCATTCGCTCGAAATTCTTAGAAACTTCTCAAATTTAGCAGCGAAGCGGTAAAACTGGTCGAGTCGACTTAGCCCTCCGCCAAGTTTTCGAGAAATATCTCTGAATCTAAGGGAGATAGCGAAATTTTCGTAATTACCTTTTTTGTAGAACGAATTAAGGACTACAAAAGGGATCTTAACAACAATTTCGCTACCTCCCTTAGATTTCGAGAAATTCATTGAAAACTGGTCGATAGTCAAAATCGACTTGAACCGTTTCACCGCATTGCTGCTAAATTCACTCGATTATTCGAGAAACTTCTTCAATTCCCCCCAAATTTCTAGAAATTCCTTGAATTCCCTCGAATTAAAAAAAAATCTCGAATTCCTTCGAATTTTCTAGAAACTCTGGCGCAGACTCCGCGTTTTCTTTATGGAGTTTATAAACAAAAACCTCCATCTTTAACAAATACCATGGAGTGTGCAGGAACGATCGAGATTGTTACCACCCAAGGCGACGCGTGTGCCAGGGGTGCCGCCATTGTTTCTGGGGTGACCAGGGGGAACAGTGGATTTCGTGGCTATACAAAGGTACAACTGACCAATAGAGACACCCAGAGTCTATGGAAACTGCGATCATGCAATAAGTAAAACCACACTCATGGCTTGCTGTCAACGATCATAAGAACCCCATAAAATACGTAAATTATGAGGGCTCGGTGACACTAAATGTGGGGAGACCGATTTCGAGACGCCCCACCGCCGGAACCACTTAAGGGTGACCACAGTCATAAAAATCAGCCTAATAGAAAAACTCATAATCAAGCGTTTCCAAATAGCCGGACCCAGCCTCCGTGGACCGTTGTTGTAATGAGTAAGGAAATAATCACTGGAAAATGCAAGACTCGCACGTGCCCCGAAATACACCCGACCCAGGTGTGAATTGAGATACTTCACGAGTAACACGAACGAATCGACAGTCGATTTCCCACTCATTGGTAAAACTACGATTTTCCACTCTATGCATTCAGCATTCCTGAATAGGGCAATTTTAATGAATACCCGATAACACACCTGGAAGAAGGCATCACAGTTCTCTAAGGTCATACTTTAGCTTATCACACATCAAAAGGCCATGACGTCATTCCATGAACACGTGCGCTCGTAAAAACCCAATGGATCAGAAATTGTGACGATTTCTGCCCCATTATCACTCCCCCCTAGATAGGCGTGCGTCTTCATTACGAAGGGTCAAATCGAGATTCCGGGAATCATAAAAGGGGACCGATTCCGTGAATCACGCGTAGCGCGCGAGGCCTGAACTCACCCTCACTTTTCTACCCTCTTGACCACGGATCAGCCCGGTGCGCGCAGAAGTCATCAATTGATACGAATCCCCAGATATGGCCATCATCCGAGGACATCGGGTTGCCATGGACCCACCCCTACAGAATCTCTCATTACGGATGGGGTCAATCGAGGATATATAAGGGCTGCCCCCGGACATCCAAGGCAGTTACCAGTCAGTCGGCTAGGCAGTCAGTCAGTCATAGAGTCAGCTAGTCATAGCTGCAGTCGCAGTCGCAAGAGACAATTACTAAGAGCGAGTCACAGAGAGTCAATTGCCAAACCCAGTTATTCGAATCAGCTCTTGGTCTTGCTCAAGTCACGGACAGTGATTATTCACAATCTGCATATTTTGACTGCACTATTTTGTACTCAACCGGTTAGTTGACTCATCTCTACTAATTCCTCGACCCACTGTCTTGAGGGCAGTATTCGTCAAGGAGCTTAGATACTCGTCCCAACGACGTATTGTGGTCTCGTCGTTCAAGTGGCCAACTGGAATTATTCTTTCGTGCAGGCCCAGGTAGTCGAATTATAGCCCTTATTTTGACCCCTATTCTAACTTTTGTAGCCCTTAAATTGACTCTTGTGAACCTTAATCTAACCCTCGTGACCCTTATTCTGATCCTCATTATAACCTTTCTGACTCTTATTCTGATCTTTATTATAACCTTTCTGACCCTTATTCTGATCCTCATTATAACCTTCGTGACCCTTACTTTGACCCTTGTGATCCTTCATTTCTGAGCCTTACCTTTTGGAGTCTTAATTTCGATTACTAAATTCTCATCACCAAAAGCCGATTTAGATTTTTATAATATAGAGAGATAATGTAATACAGTATTTCTCTATATTATAAAATTTCAAATCGACTTCTGGTGATAAAAATTTGGCACTCGAAATTAAGAAGCACAAAGGTTGTAAGGGTCATGAGAGTCAGAATAAGGGTCCAAATAAGGGCCACAAGGGTCAGATCAAGATGCGAAAGATTAAGGGTTACGAGATTAAGGGCCACAAGGGTTAGAGTAAAGCTCCAAATAAGGGACATAGGGGTCAAAAACCAAGGGTCAGAAATTAAGGGTTACCAAGGTCAAAATAAGGTTCACGAGGGTTATAATCAGGGTCAGATTAAGGATTCAAATGAGAGTCACAAGGATCAGATTAAGGATCACCAAGGTCAGATTAAGGGTCATGGGGGTCAGAAACTATGGGTCACAAGGGTCAGAATAAAAACCATGAGGGTCATATGGGACCCGAACAATATTATTGAAAGATGAAATAATCTATACAATTTCCATTTTATTTATGGAATATTCAATGCAAGTTGAAATCGCCCAGAAACTCAACTACTCAACGTCCAGAAATTGACTTGTTTACCCTACTCCCTGCAAAATCAAAAACTCCGAAACCCCCGAAACCCAAAACTCCAACCGCGGTAAAATTCAAACCTCTTCCATCGACGGCGATCCCCCCTCGGCTTCAAGCGAATATTCCCGAGTGAGACACCCAAAACCCTGACGAAGACCGAGTGATTGAGTAAGGGAGGTAGGGTAGGGAAAATAAGTGAAGTGTGTGCAGGGACGCCCGGGTGTCTCTAAACTAATCACAAGCTCCAAAAAAAACCCTCATCGAATCCTCTGAAAACCCCCGCAATTCGCCCATTAAAATTCCCTCAAATTCCCTGAAAAGTCAGGGAAACTCAGGCAAATCCGAGAATCACTGGACTTTTCTCAGTGAAAAAGATACTTTTCGGTCCTGCTCTCGTGCTCTGTGTCTGTGTTCCTCGGACCTCCATTGTCGAAATCCGGCGAGAGAATTTATTTCACGGAAAATAAGAACATAAAAAAAAGAGATTGTTCAGCGACTTGAGTATTCGTAGATTTTGGGAGGCATCCGATTGTTTTAACGGGGGATAAGTAATTTTTACGAGTCTTTCGGCTGTAGTTTATGACTAAAGTGACTCCCGGTGACGCTTTTTTTGTCTGAGGATCGTCAACACGGCGTGGAGAGAGAGATAAGGGGTAAAATTCATTCAGTGCAAATTATTTTCTCTCATGTTTTGGGTTCAAGGGAATTTTTATTTGCTCCTGATATTGACGAGTTAATTGACAGCATTGGGGAAAGGGTCTTGGGGGATTTGTTGAGGTGACTTTTTTTTTACGACGAGGGGATTTTTTTGTGTAGGAAAATGAGCTCTGGAGCGGGATCGAGTGGGACAGGTCGGGGCAGAGGATCCTCTCTTGCTGATAACAAACCGGATAACAAAGAGGCTAAGGCCAATCCAAAGATATCAAAGGCTTTGGGAACGTCGGCCAAGAGGTGGGTATAACCTCAATGTTGGAGGGGAGTTGGTGGAGCAGTTGGAGATATNTTTGGAGAGCCAGTTTGGGGGGGGGGGGGTTGGAGTTTTTGTTTGGGGCGGGGTATCACGTATGAAAAAATCGTATAGAAATTTTCTATACGGATTGTGCATGGAAATTCTATAGGATTTCCGTATATGATATTCGGATATTTCTATACGAATATTTTCTATAGGGGAGGTCGGGGTAAAATGGACACTTTTGAATTTTTCAAAAAGTTAATGACAGGTTGAAATGGTGATGACATTTAATAATTTTTTTTTTCAATGCAAAGACCAATTCTCGCCCTTTGTGATGGGCCTTAACTGAGCACCACACGAAAAAATTTAATAGAAAAACCTATCGAATTCGTTAGAGAATTCTATTGAATTTCTATCAAACTTTCTATTAGTTTTTCGCTGATTCCATTGACATGTTCAGTAGAAAACATTTAATGGAAAAAGTCAACAGAATTCGATTTTTCTATATAACTTATTCTTTTTATATATTTTCTATAGAATTTGCTCGGCTCAAATTTTTCAAGTTTCTTCTCATCAAGAAAATTAAACGAAAAAACTTGGAAAATTTGAGCCAAGGAAATTCTATAGAAAATATCTCAATAGAATAAGTTGTATAGAGAAATTGAATTCTATTGACTTTTTCTACTGAATATTTTCTATTGAACATTTCAATAGAATCGACCAAAAACTAATAGAACAGTTCAATAGAAATTCAATAGAATTTTCTAATGAATTCGATAAATTTTTCTATTAAAATTTTCGTCCGTGTACCCCCACAACGAAACTCAAAAATGAGTTTTTTAATTTGAAGATCGCAGTCATGACGAGTATTTCGGAAATTGAATAATATTGTTGAACCATGAAAAATTGCGGAAGAAATTGAAGTGTCCATTTTACCCCGTTTTTGCTTTACCTTACAACTCCTACGATAGTCTTATGACAATGTGTTTGGTTTTATGACCTTCATATGAAGTCGGAACAGTAGATTTGATCCAATTCAACTCATTATTTAAGTCGAGTGTCCATATTGCCCCATTCTCCCCTATAGATCCCGGTAAACTAAAAAAAAATTACGCTTAAATATAAATTGAAAATCTCAAAGGACGGGTGCAGCGGACTAAATGGCGAGAAACATCTCCACTGACTAGACTTAAATTACCATAATAGAAACCGTGAATTACAAACAATAACAAGTTAAAATTTGATATTATTTTCGTGAATTCTCACTAACAAATAAACCTACTGTTAAAATTTATTTTTAATACTGTCAATTTTTTTGCACAACATAATGTTAAAATTTTTAACAAAATTTTAACAGTATGTTGTGAAAAAAAATTTTTAACAAAATTTTAACAGTGTGTTCTGAAAAAAACTGAAACATCCTCTCTTTTGAAATCGAATAACTGTCGACCAAAATCTATGAAAAAGCCGCCCTACCCCCGCCCCTCTCCCGCCCCAAACAAAAACTCCCAAACCTCCGAAAATGATGACGTAATAGATACGAATATAGAAATGTCCGAATATCATATACGGAAATCCAATAGAACTTCTATACGCAATCTGTACGGAAAATTTCTGTACGATTTTTTTTTGTGGTAATCAAATTTTTAATCACAATTTATAATACCCTGCACTAAGAGAAAAACGATAAAGTTGTCAAACAAGTCTTATTTGTGCCAAGAAAATAGTTTTTTGGAAATTATCAAAAAAGGATTTTTTGTGGCAAACATGCAGAGAGTGCGCCGGAATGAAAAATTTTTGTCGCAAAAATTGATTTAGTAGTTCAAAAAAAATTGCATTCTCTGCACATGCAAGAAATGTCATTTCTAGCACTGCTCCTTCGTTATTCGATTCTCCCATATGTATTTTGCTCGGAAAAATCTTTGTTTTATGCGAAACAAGGGACAGTAGTTTTTCGTTTCGGCGGTCTAATAATTACAGACAACAAATGAACCCTTAAATGAAACAATAATAGTAATATGATAGCAATCTTGTAACTTAGGAATAAAATATTTGTTGATAAATTTTCCTCTGTATGAGATTTTTCATCACGCTGTGACGAAAAGTGAACTTTTCGGCACGCTCCGCGTGCCTAAAAGTCCAATTTCCGCCACATTGTGATGAAAAATATTGTTCGTAACTCGTGAAAAAATGTTTTTTAGCTCGTGGGATTATATCACTCGCCTTCGGCTCGTGATATAAACCTCCCACTCGCCAAAAAACACTTTTTTGCACTCGTTACGAAATATACTATTTTGATCCTGAAAGGCACCGTCTGGTGTGAATTATCCGCCTCTTGAGCCAAATATTTCGTTGCTGTCGAAAGCAGAACAATTATTCATGTTTGAGACTTTCAAATTCGAACCAAACAAATTCTTTTTTGGCAATTTTCAACTAGCGATTTTGTTGGCCCAAACAAGACTTGTTTGACAACGTGTTTGTTTTTGTCTCAGTGTATAAAACGAGTGGTTTGAGATCATTTATAAAAAAACTTTTTGTAGAAAACTTCAGGAGGAGCTTGACATTTTCTTCTAAAATAACTCATTTGAAAATAAGTGTAGAAATAACAATATGTTATGTTTTGAGTTTTTGTAGGCGAAGTTGAAGGGCTTTAGATGACAGAGGAGAGGTTTGAGTTGTTATAATACGTGCGGGTTTCAAATTTCTCGATCGCTGGGCGTGATAGAAGAAAGAGGTTTTTTTTAAAGAACTTATGAACTAGAAAGACGTCTCTTCATGTCTCTTAATATGAAAAACTTTTTGTAATTCTTTTTCGGAATGCAGAAAAGATCCTTTGAAATTTATTTTCCTAAAGTCTCTCATGTTCCAAATTATTGCTAATTGTATATTGTGTTACTAATGCGTAAAGTTTCACTTTTTCGCACGCACGTGTAACACATCCTACTTTTTTCAATACTTGTTGAGTTTACTTTTTGGTGGTGTAGTGCAGTGAACGTTTCCTCGAAACGTTTGACCTTCTAAAATTGAGAATTAAATTTCGGTTTCATCCAGTGGGATAGGCATACCTATACGACCCCATTTTTAAGAAATGTTCCCATGTGAAAATAAGTGATAGAACAACGATATGTCATTTTATGCAAAAAACGTGTTTTGCATCAACTGCTCTGTTTCAAAAAGTATTGAATCGATCGATCTGAAATTTTACACAGGAGTGCAACTCGATGATACTAACTAGTCCTCAATATTTTGGAACTTTACCACATCGTTGACTCATGTAATGGAACGTCAAAGCAACTTTCAGACAAGAAAAATAGAAAAACGCCAATATCTCGTAAACTTTGTAGGAACGGGTATATATATTTTGAAAGAACGAGATAGAAGACATCAAGACGAATATTTTGAAAAAAAAAACGTGAAATCGAATGAATAATTTTTGAGATATTGAACAATATAGTTTTATACAAAAAATTGAATATCTTTAAAACTACTCATTCGATTTCGTCCATCTGAAATCCCAGCCTGAAATTCAGTAAGAGCTAGAATCCTACCAAATTTCGACTTCCTATCTCAATTTTTTCAAGCGCTATCGTGTTCACTTCAATTTTATCACAAAAATGAAAAATGCCAGTTACTGATTTGATAAATATTATCATAAGGAATATTTTGACGCCAAAAAAGTTCATTTGATGCAGTAGTTTTCGTGTATTGAGAAAAGAAATTTTTTTCGGCATCGCTGTATCTCAAAAACTGCTGGACCGATTGAGCTGAAATTTTGCCCAGATGTGCTCCCAAACAACACCAATTATGAGCCAAAATTGCAGATTTTTATTTATCACTTCAGTCCTTTTTCTGTGAAAATTTATAAAAAAATTCCCAGAATTTTGAACGCACATATGGACGTACATCCAGACATTCTTTAAAAACCTCATAGCTCTACGTTTTATGACATTTTAAGTCATTTCCAAGCAAAATTAGAAAATAAAAAAATCGACCGATTACAAAGCTTTCATTCGGAAGCAAAAAAACTAAATAACTAGAAGAAATAATCGCAATTTTCTTTCATCTTTTTTCCATCAATCCTTAGTTGTACTGGATGATGGATAACAATAGTCTGTTTGAATTATTCAGAATACAAAAGGAGCTGGCAGAGATCACCCTGGATCCACCCCCAAACTGCAGTGCAGGTCCAAAGGGCGATAACTTGTACGAATGGGTGTCAACGATCTTGGGGCCACCAGGATCAGTCTACGAGGGCGGTGTTTTCTTCCTGGATATTCATTTCTCAGCTGAATATCCCTTCAAGCCACCAAAAGTAAGAGAATGCTTCCATTACCGTTCATCTCCACCCAATAAAATAATACCTTATCTTATGATTTTCTTAAAATGAGATATTTATTTATTTTTTATTTATTTATTTATTTATTTTCTCGTCACTCCTCCTTGTAACGTATAATAATTCAAAGATAGTAATCTGTCCAACTTTATTGTAAAAGTTGGAAAGTAATTACTGTTTTTTTTATAGATTCAGCCATTTTCAATCATCAAATTTGTTAATTAAATTGCGTGAGAAGAATTTGAAAAAATCCTGAATATTCAGCGTCATTCAAATTACATTTTGCACAAGATTATCATTTTTTTAAACATTCCTTGGTTGTAAATAAATCATTGAAATTGTTTAAACTTTCCGAAACCTTATTTTTTAGGCATAAAATCGGTTTCTGGTAAAATTCTGAATATGAATAAATTTCCTACGATTTCGAACAAATTATTTTTATGGTGGAAAACTGATTGTTTATAAATTATTTATATAAAATGCTCGTAATTTTGAAAAAAATTCCAATTTTTTAATTATTTTAGCAATCTTTCTCCAAAAGTAAACTTTCTAATTTTTCTTCCAGATTTGTAAAATGTTTTCTAACGCTTCAATATTGAGATTCACATGCAGACCTGCAAAGTTTAAATAATGAAATTACTGTAAAATGTCCGGAAACTTGGGGTCAAATGGAGCTCAAATGAAAGCTCTCTCGTTCGACTGCGAAAATAGAAAAGCATTTCACTGGAGAAGAAATAGCCAGTTGGATATCCTTAACTTTTTTCAATAAATCATCATCATTTAACCCCTCACGGAAGGGGCCCTTTCGTTTCCAGGCGTAAAATACGCTCGATACAAGTAAAATGTAATGACTTCTAATCAACGGAAAATGATGAAACCGACATGTAATTGAAGCTATAGTATTTCTTTTTTCGTTGTTATTTATTTGATTGAGTTAAATTCCACAGTTTTGGAAATAATCAATTTTAACGAGAGTCATTTATATTTTCATAGGTCGATGCATGGCATCAAGCCCGTACGTGAGGGGTTAAAAAACAATTAACTATAAACAATTAATCGTGTGACGTATTGGGAAAGACCAATACGTCGATTTAGTTAATAATTATGTGAAATGTTCACATAAATGGTGGATGAGAGGAATGAGAAATATGATTTCTCTTTCCTGCCATCCAGACAATGGTCAGCCATTCCAGGGTGTCAGTTGGACACTTTGGTAAGCAGTCCCACGGTTTTCAACAAGTCCAGTTCGGGGGTACCGAACTGTTTGACTGTTGTAGTTTGTGTCAATGACGACACAAGACTGTGTTAGTGAGAAAAACCGTGAGATTGCTTAGATCAGCAAACTGAGACTTTGATGAGTTTCGAGGACTCTGGAAGCACCAGGGTACGGCAGAGCACGATCGAGAGCGAAACAGAAAGGATCTGTCAAAGCTCAGGCCTTCAGCCAGATAAGACTACCACAAGTCAGAGTCTCAGTCGAGTAAAACACCATTAACTACGCGTTAAACCGACCCATCAATATAGATATCGTGTAATTCACCATCAAGTTAGACAATATATCATACTTTTATCTAACTGTACGCGAGTGTTTACTAAGAGGTTTAACCCCTCCACGATCCTCCATCCTTAACATCCCTCCGAGTGAGCGGACCCCCCGTGAGCTCACCGCCGAAGTAGCCGAGGCAGGAGTGAACCAGGAAAGGATTAACAATCGAGAGATTAGCAGAAGAATTATCCTTTAATTTGAGTTTTACCAAACGGGTAAAACTCATAACGTCACAATCGAAAGCATATGCTCCAAAAAAACCACAATCATCTTTCGATTTCTTCAAGAATAATGAAGATTATAAAAATATGAAAGGCAACGAAAAATGAAAAATTTAATTAAAATGAAGGCCTGGGTATACTATCTTTCGAACGTTATCTCGATGTTTTTTTTCATCTCTCGTCATCTGAAATTGTCAATTAAGTCCTGCATCATGTAGAAGTTTTGAAAAATTATGAATGAATAATCAAAAAAAAGTAGAAGAAATTCTCAATTTTTTCAAAGAGCATTTTTAATTTATATTCAGAATAAATTGAATAACAATAAATTGAAAAATGTATCTGATTTACGGTGACAAATGGCGGCCTGTCACCCAATATCATGCAGGGGGAAGACTGATTTCGTAAATCTTTTCCCACACTGTACAGAGACATTTATTACGGAAAAGGCTCTTTGAAAAAAGTTGTAATATGTTGGAGAATTTTTTAATCACACTTTTATCACATAAAAATGTCAGATGACTACATACCACTGTTTTGAAAATTGAGATACCTAGCTGTCACTTCCCATGAGGAGTTAGTGTTTTGTTATCCACGATGGAAAATGACAGCTAATAGATAATTTGCCACAGCGAATCAGATATTTGTAATTTTCACTTTTTCAACTCATTCTGAATCCCAATTAAAAACGCTCTTTGAAAAAGTTCAGAATTTTTTCTATTTTGTATTATCATTCTATCATAATTTTTGGGAATTTCTACAAGATGTACACTCAATTGACAATTTTGGATTGTAATAACATTCGAAACATAGTACACCCGGGCCTTAAATCAATTATCTGTAGATTGATTACTTCTCTGAAATGAATAAAGGGTTTAATCAGCTGTATGAAGGGTTCTAATCCCCCAACTGCTCACGTCTAAAAATAAAACAGTTTAGAAACTACAGCGAGATGTTGTAGACATTTGAGCACTTCCATCCACAGGATATTTTCAAATGCATAATCGCTTTATTTTTCTCCTGCTTCAGGTTACATTCCGCACACGTATTTACCACTGCAACATAAACAGCCAGGGAGTCATATGCCTCGACATTTTGAAAGACAATTGGTCGCCAGCGCTGACAATTTCCAAGGTTCTACTCTCCATCTGTTCACTACTTACAGACTGTAATCCAGGTAATACCTTCAGGAATAAAGTTTTTATTTTTTGTATTGCATCAACACATGATTTAAACAAGCGGCAGTGCAGCATTGCCCTTATATTTTTTTTATTTTTAACGGAATTGATTGCAAGAAAAAAAAATTTCTTACAATAGGCCATCGCCCCAGGGTCTGTAACCAAAGTTCTTATAGGCTAATAAATTATTTAAAAAGGTTCATTCAGTAAAAAAACATCCATATGTATGAATATATACAAAAATTCGAAAATGTAAACTTGAAAATTGAAAATTATCGTGTGCGGGAATTAAATTAGGGCCCCAGAACAGTGAGACACCCTCACCCCCCAAAAAAGGGCTTCCGACATTGTTTTTCAAACTATAATGAATTTAGAGATATTTGAAAAACTCTAAATCAAATTCTTCGAGTCATTTTGCTCGCCCCTTTACAATAGAATTCCATCCCCTGAAGTATTCGTATTCATGCTAAAGTTAATGAGAGTTAATTCCAGAAATGTTCAATAGTTGTCACTTTACGAATTGTATTTATTGTCAGTTTAAGACCCGGGTGTACTATCTTTCGAATGTAATCTGGATTTTTTTTATCTTTCGTAATCCAAAATTGTCAATTGAGTGGTACATCATGTAGAAATTCCCAAAAATTATGATAAAATGATTTAAAAAAATAGAAAAAATTCTGAATTTTCAAAGACCGTTTTTAATTGAGGTTCAGAATGAGTTGAAAAAAGTGGAAATTACAAATATCTAATTCGCTGTGGCAAATTATCTATTAGCTGTCATTTTCCATGGTGGATAACAAAACACTAACTCCTCATGGGAAGTGACAGCTAGGTATCTTAATTTTCAAAACAATAGTATGTAGTCATCTGCCATTTTTATGTGATAAAAGTGTGATTAAAAAATTCTCCAAAATATTACAACTTTTTTCAAAGAGCTTTTTCCGTAATAAATGTCTCTGTGCAGTGTGGGAAAAGATTTACGAAATCAGTCTTACCCCTGCATGATATTGGGTGACAGGCCGCCATTTGTCACCCTAAATCAGATACATTTTTCAATTTCTTGTTATTCAACTTATTCTGAATATAAATTAAAAATGCTCTTTGAAAAAATTAAGAATTTTTTCTACTTTTTTTTTATTATTCATTCATAATTTTTCAAAACTTCTGCATGATGCAGGACTCAATTGACAATTTCAGATGAGAAAAGATGAAAAAAAACATCGAGATAACGTTCGAAGGATCGTACACCCGGGCCTTAATTAAAAAATTAATAAACAATACTGAATTACAAATTTGATTATATTTCAGCTGATCCACTAGTTGGCAGTATAGCAACCCAGTACATCCAGAATCGTGAGGAGCACGACAGAATTGCCCGACTCTGGACCAAAAGATACGCAACATGAGCATCCACCACAAATATCATCCCCCCAACCCACTCCTATCAGCCATACGCCAATAAATTCATCAATCATTACATCAAAGACGTAAAAAGAAAAAATTATGAAGAAATAATGAAGCATGTGTCTCCAGAGATAAATAAGAAACATGCAGAACACGTTCCTAGTGGCCAAACGAGGGCCTCTTCAACTCTAAACAAAAACCTCAACCAACAATTTTAACAAATTGTAATGCTGAAGAAATGGTTAATAATTAAGATTTAAGATAGGAGATGACAGAAGCTAAACAAAGAGGCGCGAGAGATTGTGATGTGCTCTTTATTTTTTTTCTACCTACTTTTTTTTTGAGTGAATGGAAGATCGAATGAATTTTATTGAATTGATGTCACAGATACGAGAGAAACAGAGGAAAATAACTAATCGGAATCTTTTGAATCATTTGGGAATTATTGAATTTTTTTACGTATTTATTTGTTTAAATTTTTGAAAAATCAAGGAATTGGAGTTCAAGAGTAAAAATTCTTTTTTTTGTCATTTTTATCTTCAAATTAATTAATTAAACAGTTGTGTAAAATTAAGGACGAGGTCTTAGTATTTAAATAAATAAAGAAAACGAATTAATTTTGTAGATGTGAGTATTGAGAAAAAAGAAAAATTAATTACTTTTGATTAATGAATTAAATTGTAAGTAAATAGTTGTTAAGACTGTGACATTTTGTTTTCAATTTTTCCAGGGATTTATTCAGAGTTTTAAATCGATCGAAAATCACTCACCAGCATTGTCATTACAATTTTGTAAATAACTGATTTAATTTCTGTACATTATTTTTTTTTATTTTATCAAAAGAAAGACGAAATTTTTGGTTCAATGAGAAATAACTTGAATTCATTTGATCTGTAGTTTAGTATTTAAGTTTCACAGTGGAAAAATTGAGTGAACAATGTGATTATTTCGTAGCATAATTTTCGTATTCATGATTTTCATTAATTTTACGTGAAAACTGAGACTTCCAGATTAACAAAGAAAACTGAATCATTAAAGAAATAGTTTAACATATTTTGTTTCATTGCGTTTTAATGAAGGATGAGGCCACTTTGTAAATAATTTACTCTGATATGCATAGATATCTGCTTAACGAGATGACGAATAAGGATAAATAAAAGTGACGAAGGAATTAATAACATATATCCAGCGATTCATAATTTTTTATCGAAATGGTAATAGCTGGGGATTTCATACGAAACATTTTGCAAATATCTCTGAAACTAGTGGGTTTACGGGGAAATGTCAAAAAACATTTTTTGCAGAGGGAAAAATTTCCTACAAAAAAGAGCTTTTGACATTTTGCGCTCGAGTTGATAATTACCGAGATAACTGGAGGTTTAACGAGAGTACGTCGACGTGGTGATGAGTTCTTTTGTTAACACAGCAAATATCTAGTTCTGAGGGAGAATGTCACGAGAATTTCATGATCTGCAATAAAATATCATGACATTCTCTCGTAAAACTTGACGTTCTCGAGGTATTCGCCCAGTTAACAAACTCAGTTTGGATTTGTCTACTTCAACCACTTCATTAATTAATTAATAATCATGGGAAAAATAAATAGTCAGCTTTTGAGCGCCTTGTACAGATCCTGAGAGCCTTAGAGCAGAGGTAAATGCTAACAATCGCTTTTATGAATACAATGAATAAATAAACAAATGAAATAATGAATAATTAATTGATTGATTGATTAATGGTAAATTTGTGTCGGTCTTGTAAATTTTTGCGAAGTGGATGAATCCACGTAACTCTATTTGGTGTTCCAATTTAGCCTGCCTGTGTGATTGTTTATTGAATGATTGAATAAATCGACGATAATACAAAAATTTGGGTGAAAACGATATCTGGTTTGATTAATGGTAAATAAAAAATAAATAAATGTTAGTGCGCTAGTTATTGGCATCGGTATAAAGATGAAATAAAGATAACTTGTACAATAAATGGGTTTTTATTCATTTTCATTCATCAAAATGATTTTTATCAATTATTTTTCATGATTATTAACAAGTGGCTCATTGCACAGGTCTAAATCAAGTATAGTTCTTTTGCTAAACATTAGCAATTTGTTTCCGAATGGGATAATCGAATTAAAACAAAAAAGTACATATTCGGTTTTCTGTCATTAATTTCAGATTAGTAGGAATCCTTTCTGAAGTTTAACCTCAGGAAAATTCAATTCTTTTTTAAAGACAATTTGAGATAAAATTTTTTAGTGAACTGAATTTATTTTAAATTAGACAGATTGAGTGAAAACAAAATGAATGTAAAATTTGATATCACAAGAGTTCACGCTCCTGATACATCAGGGTTGATGTCTCCTCGGTCGTAAGTAAATTTAAATTTTATTTTTCTCCTGAATAGTTTTCCTTAAACTGGACTTAAGACCAGTAGGGGAGGTAGGGGCAAAGCGGACCCCCGGGGCAAAGCGGACCCCTTCGAAAAAAAACGTGTGGGGTAAAGTGGACCCTCACATAAATTATTGAATCGAGTCGCCAGAATTATTCTAATACGTTTTATAAAGTGAAATTTACTACCTTGACTAAAAAAATATGCAATGAGGGCAAGTATAAATTTGTGTGAGCTCCTGCGGATCTAATTGTGAACAAGAAATGTGAGTTTTTGATCAACAGCGATTACATTCTATCCAATCGGTAGAACAACATGACAATGACTCCTGACAAACGGAAAATTAAAATAATTTTTAAAAAACAGAGGGTCCACTTTGCCCCAACATTAATTTTTTTTTTAATTTAATGACAGATCTTAATTGCAATTCTAATGAGATTATGATCTCCACGTGAAGTGCATTGACTCATTAGAATTTAAAAAACTAAACGATTCGCTTAGAGGGTCCGCTTTGCCCCTACCTCCCCTATAACTTTTTTGCTAGTGAATTAGCAATTTGCTTCTGAATGGTAAATTGGGGAAGAAGATATACCAGCCATGAAACCATAATATGATCCCTAAATGTCCCAAATGTCTAACATGAGCTCCATATGCCCTGGTTAAACATCTAGCAGACGCTGAATAAATTAAAATTAAGGCATAGGAATAATGTTGAAGTACAGGTAAAAAGTAGAATAAAACAAAAAATCCCTTTTCTGAATTTTATAATTTTTTTGTTTATTTTCACTTATTTTATTTATACCATAAAAGCTAGACAAATATGTGCTAAAGACGAGTCGTTGGGCTCCTATCAATATATGCCACAAAATAAGTAACATCATAAAGAAATTACTTCGTAATACAAAGTTATTTCATATCGTTACAATAAAATTGGTATTTTGCATAATTCTCCATAATTCAGATGAATGAAAATAACATCTCCATAAAGCATTGCGAATCAGTCTGCCAATTGTTAAATTGATCAATATCTAAAATCCTCGAATACCAATTTTTCCATTAAAAATCTCATTTTTCGTATTCTTGGTAATTCTTTAGTTAATACTGATTATAATAAATTTTCTTCAATTTTTCAGTCTTTCACGTGTTATATTTTGTCTTCTTGTGAATTATTTTTTTCATCTGTTCTTTCATTTTTTTCTTTATATTTTTCATATATTTATGCCAATGCGATTGTCTAATGTCAGGTCACTAAATCAACAAATAATCATAGATAGAAAAAAAATAATAAAAGTATTGGAAAAATGTGGAAATTAATTTTTGAAATATTTCTTTTTTCGTTCGTTAATGACAAGGAGCGAAACTTTGGACATGTGCTATTACTAAGTATTCATAATTCCTCACTCTCTTTACCCCCTCTTGTTCCCCTCATTTTTTTTTAAACAAGCAATTAATTTTGCAGATTAATTAATGTTCGATCTAAACATCTAAATTCTTATCCTTAAACTGCTTAATTGAATTACAAATTAACAGTAATTATCATTAGGCACACTCCAAATGATAAAGTTAACAAATTAAATGTTGTTTATTTAATCTTGGTAATTAAAAATGGACGGCTGTTGATAATTAAAGAAGAGTAATGATAATTCAGTAGTAGAGAGGTGACACTTCTATTAATTATGCAAATACCTCGTGAGCAATCGATGTTGTAGGAAAATGTAAGAAGACTTTTTCCGAAGAGAATTCTCTGGGAAAAGAATATCTTCTATTTTCTCCAAAACTCGATAATTAACGAGATAATTGAAGAATTTGTTCAAGCAATCGGGATAAGATAGGAGAGACCAGAGCAAAATGGGATACCAGGAAAAACGACTGCTTAGCATAACTCCGCAAGCTTTTTTTGTTCTTAGGTGAGAGTCAAATGGTCTTGAGGGTCAAATAACCCCCAATGAGGTTTGAAGCTAAAGGTCCAATGGTCGTAAACATCAAAAGTCACTCAAGGATGTTTGGAGTTGAGAGTCAAATGATTTTTTTCGATCATTGTTCTCCAACCCGTTTGAACTTCATGACCATTTGACCCTCAAACCTAAAAATTGTGAAGGGTTGTTTGACCCTTAACTCAAAACGTCCTTAAGGGTCGTTTGACCCGTGTAAGCATTTGACAAAGGAAAGTCAATAAACTTCTTCTTTGTTTTTAGTTGAGAATGAAATTATCATGAGGGTCAAATAATCCCCAATGGCGTTCGGAACTAAGGGTCAAATGACCCTCACGGCATTTCGAAATGAGGAACAGACGATTGCTTCCGATTTCTCTTCTTTAATCCATTGGAACCTCAAGACCATTTGACCCTCAACCCAACCCACGTTTTTAAGGGCTGTTTGACCTTCAACTCCCAATATTTTTAGGGGTTGTTTGACCGTCAACTCCAAACGTTTTTAAGGTTATTTGAACCCGTATAATCATTTCACCAAGGAAAGTCAAGAAACTTCCTTGTTTTTAGTTGAGGAGAAAATGATCTATAGAGTGAGATAATCCCCAACGACGTTTGGAGCTGAGGGTCAAATGGTCGTAAGGGTCAAATGACCCTCAAGGCATTTGAAAATGAGGACCAAATGAACCTTTTCACTCTTCTCTGACCCGTTGCGACTCCAAGACTATTTGACCCTCAACTTCAAACGTCCGTAAGGGTCATTTGACCCTCACAACCATTTGGCTCGTAACTAAAAACAAAGAAGACAAAATTCCTTGGCTTTCTTTTTGTTTTCAGTTGAAGATCAAATGGTTTTAAGAGTCAAATGACCTTTAATGATGTGCGGAGATCAGGGTCAAATTGTCTTGAGAGTCAAGCGATCCTTACAGACATGCAGAGTTGAGGGTCAAATGACCCTTCATTCTTCTCTGACCCATTGGAAACTCACGACCATTTAATCCTCAACCCGAAATGTTCTTAAGGGTTGTTTGACCCTCAACCTATAACGTCCTTAAGGGTTGTTTGACCCTTATAACCATTCGACAAAAAAAACAAGACTTCGTTGTTTATAGTTGGGGGTGAAATGGTCTTGAGGGTCAAATGACCCCTAAGGAAATTCATAGCTAAGCGTCAACTGGACGTAAGAGTCAAACGACCCTCAAGGACATTTGGAGTTGAGGGTCAAATTGCCGAAAGAGGCGAGCGATCCTTAGAGACCTACCCGGTTAAGGGGCAATGACCCTTCCTGATCACTCTGCTTTACCCCTTAAGACCATTTGACCCTCAAAACAAAAAAAATCCGAATTACGCTAATTAGTCATATCTTTTGGTCTTCCATTTTGTCTTCTTCTCTCCTAGTCTCAATTGTATCTACTCGATTATCTCTGTTAATTACCCAAATATCTCGAGAATGGAAGGATTTAAGAGAAAACATCAAAAAACCGTTTTTATACAAAAGAAAATTCCCCATAAAAAACGTTTTCTGATGTTTTCTCCCATCACGAATCATTACGGAGATAATCCAACAGATAAGAAACAATTGATATTTTTCCAATTGCAATGAAAATTCGTATCCTACTAATAAAATTCGTTCTACCCCACCTCTACTGAATCATGAATAATACTTTCATCAGTGAACTAAAACTTAGCGTCCATTACCCACAATTACTTTCTAAAATCGCTCAATCTCCCTTCTGAAGTAGAAAAATAACCGAATCGAGAATTTTTCATTTCCAAAAAAATCCCAATTCGATAGATTTCTCGTTGTTTTTTTTCTCTTTTTATATTTAATGATAAATTTCGATTTAAGACACAGAGAAACAGTTGTACATCAATAGCATACAATTCCAGTGACAATGATAATAATTTTTCATCTGAATAAATCTCCCTTACTAATTAATCTCAGTATGCAGAAGCGTTTTATCTCGAATCACTCGAGATTATTCATTGTAAATAGCGGATTTAAGCCGCTTTTTATTAATCTTAAGCGGTCCTAAAACGTCACTCAATCTCTCCGTCCTCGAGGATCGTCTGTTCACCTCTGAAAACCCAAAAATAGGCTCATATTGCGGTTTATTCGTTGGCTGAGGCTTTTTATACTTGAGGCTTATGTTCACATTTTTCATCAACGTTTCGTGCTTGTCTTTGATATTGTTTCTCATTTGGCAAGTAGACAAATTGGCAGTTATTTAGCAAGCAGAGAACGCACTCCTCGAGACTGAACAATTTTAATATCTTAGTTTAATTATTTAATTCTTTAGTTGAGTTGTAAAACGTATGTGAAAGTCAAATTTATCTCGGTAATGAGCAGTTTTAGGAGAAAATGTCAAAACATTTTTTCTGTAGGGAATTCAATTTCCTGCGAAAAAGATCTTTGACATTTTTTCGTACAGTCTAGATAATTACCCAGATAATTCAATATTTAACTCAAGCATTCACTGGAATTTTGACATTTTCGTGTTTACTTGAACTATTTTATCAATTATGCAAATATCTCGGTGACGAGTGGTTTCAGCTAAAAATGACAGGAAAGATTTCACTCATTATCGAGATATTTTCAACTTTAACAAAATATGAACAATCGACTTGTTACGTTCTATCACTTCGCTGTTGAATTAATCGTTTATTCAATTTCATAGAGTTTTATTAATTTTCAACGCATTCTGCATTAAATTCCTTGCTATACACATTCAAAAGCACATGATTAAATTCGACGATTGATGTAAGAAAAACAAATTTTCCCCCACGATCTATGAGTTTCTCGATTATTCCCAATTTTATTTTTTTTTTCGATCGTGGATTTTCATTTTTTAACTTGAAATAAAATTAAATTGATTCTTTTTGAATGCCTCCTAACTGATGGCTGATCAGTGTGCTGTGGTTTCACTGTAATTAAAAGATTTGAATACATAAAGTCGGTATTTTTCGCAATTTTTCTTGTGTTTAATTAAAACATTGAGTTATTGATAAATTTGTTGAAACTCAGAATTAATTGAGTTACTTGAGGCTTTGCGTTGTGCAGAATTAATGGATGCAATTGAGGAGATTCAAGGGTTTGAAATTACCTAGGGGAGAGCGAGGTAAAATGAAAAAAAACCCAAAAAAACGACTGTTCAGCACAATTCAAGAAACTTTTTTAATGTTGAGGCTTAAATAGTCTTGGGATCAAATAACCCTTAAGAACGTTTAGAATTAGGGATCAAATGGTCTTAAAGGAATGGACATTTGACCCCTGATTCACATCTTCAATGATCGTTTGCCCCTCAACACCATTTAACCCTCAAGTCCAAACGTCCTTAAGGGCTGCTTAACCTTCAAGACCATTTAGCCCTTTCACTAATAACGAAAAGAAGTCAATAAACTTCTTTCTTGTTTCTAATTGAGCGTCAAATGTTTTTGTGGGTCAAATAAACCTTGAAGACATTTGCAGTTGAGAGTGATATGGTCTAGAGGGTCAAATAACCATTAAGGACGTTAAGGATTAAGGGTCGAATGGTCTTAAGAGTCGAAGGGATTAGAGCAGAGTGATCAAGGATTATTTGACCCTTCACCCTGCACGTCTTGAAGGATCGTTTGCCCCTCAAGACCATTTGACCTTCAAGTCCAAACGTCCGTAAGGGCTGTATAACCTTCAAGACCATTTAACCCTCGAGTAATAACGAGAAAGTGAATAAACTTCTTTCTTGTTTTTAATTGAGTATCAAATGGTTTTTTGTGTCAAACGAGCCTTGAAGACGTTTGGAATTAAGAGCCAAATGGTCTAGAGGATCAAACAACCCTCGAGGACGTTAAGGATTAAGGGTCCAACAAATTAGAGCAGAGTAATCAGGAAGGGTCAGTTAACCCTGCACCCTGCACGTCTGAAAGGGTCGTTTGCCCGGCAAGACCATTTGACCCTCACCTCCACACGTCCTTCAGGGTTGTGTGACTCGACTACCTTTTGACCCTTAGCCGAAAACCTCATTAAGCATCGTTTGACTTTCAAGACCATTTGATCTTCGACTCATAACAAGAAAGATTCAAGAAACCTCTTCTTTGCTTTTAGTTGAGGATCGAATGGTCGTAAGAGTCGAGCTACTCTCTAAGACGGTTGGAGTTGTAGGTCAAATGGTCCAGAGGGTTAAACCCTTAAGAATGCTTAGGGCTAAGGGTCAAGTGCTCTCAAGGGTCTAGTAGATTGGAGTACAGTGATCGAAAAGGGCCATTTGACCCTTAATCCTGCACGTCTTCAACGGTCATTCGCCTCTCTTCCAAACTTGTTTAAGGTCGTTTGACCCTCAACACCATTCGAACCTCAACTAAAAAGAAAAACGAAAGTTTCTCAAATTGTGGTAACTAAACATTCTTTTTGGTCTTCTATTTTACCTCACGGTTAATTTTACCCCGCTCTGTGCTATTTGTTTGGTATTTATGTGAGAAAACGTAACAAGTCGAATATGAGAGGTCTGACAACTATGCAATTATCTCATAAACGAGTCATTTTTGGAGATGTCAAAAGGCCATTTTATAACTCATGACATTTCCTACAAAAAATCCCATAGATATTTTCTTTAAAAATCCATAATTATCGAGGTAATTAAAAGATTACATTTAGTGATTCTGTCGACTCACAGAATTTCACTAATTATGCAAATATCTCGATAATTATGGATTTTGAAAGAAAATGTTCGACTTTTTAGAACAGAATTAAGTTTCTTACAAAAAAGAGCCTTAACAATTTCTCTTGAAAAAACTATTATTTTACGATAGTTATGTAATTACTTCTAACAATTACATTAGTAGCTATATAGTTTTGCTACTAACGCAATTATCTTCGTAATTATTGATTCTGAGAGAAAATGCCAAAAGGCTTTTTTGTAGGAAATAGAATTTTTCTCCTCCCAAAACCGGAAATTAGCCAGACACTACTAATTACATGGGATAAAGTCAACAACGACTTCAATATTTTTATTAATTATGCAAATATCTCGATAATAAGTCCATTTGTTTATTCAAAAATTACACGAGTTATAAAAGAACTCGTAATCTTGACATTGTCTCCTAAAACTGATAATTATAGAAATAATTGCACAATTAACCAACAACTCCAAATTGCGAATTTCTTACACGAAATTCGCAAGAGCTTCCCCACTTAAATCTCCTCAAATAAACAAATAAAAAATATATATAAATAATAATCAACAAGCACCAAAGAACAACGATACAGTAGGCGAGAGAAATAATAAATAATTACTTAATCAATTTGTCCAAAGTTAACGAACCCTTCATAACGAAAAAAAAAAAAATCTTCAATTAGAAAAAAAATCAATTTCATATTTTCAAAATGGAGTCAAAATGTGATACTTGTCAACTTCTAAATATCAGTTTATCATTCTATAAATATTAAATTTAAATTTTTTAACATCTACGTAGACTTTACAATAGTAAGAAACAAGAGTAACTGTTGCTTAATATTATAATTCGTTAAATATTGCATTTAGTATTTTTCTTAAACTAAATCTAGTGGACTTAATGTTTTGTATATTTTTTTTATGTGGAGTAGCTACTTCTGCAGATGTCTCACTAGTTTAAAATAATTTTTTCAACAAAATAAATACATCGAGGGGGGGAATTATAACAAAATGGCAAATTGGTGATTGAGTGGCTTAAAGCTGACACGTTCGTTTCCTCAAAAATGCACAGAAACGTTGAGGCTCGTTACCCTGACAACTGCAGCATATTTATTTATTTGATAATGTTCTTTTTTCATGGCTTTTTTCGATTATTTTGACAATTTTTTTTTGCTATTGTTTGTTCACACATGCTTTGAGTTATTTTATAGACACACACTTAGTTAAATTACTTTCGATCACAGCGTCCTTTAATTTTGTGTTGTGAAGCATTTTTTTGTTGTTTATGGACAAAGACAGATGAAAATTCCGGAGTGAAGGGAATTCGAAGAGGCATTTTTTGTAAACAATTTTTATTAATAATGGAGTTGGTGCAATTGACGGAATTATTCAAGTTGTGATGGCTTTCTCATTATTATGGAATTATCTTGGAGATTGTGGAGTTCAGAAAAAAGTGCCAATTTAACAGCAACAAAAGGATTTTACTTATCGTCAAACCATCATTGATGTTAGGTCATCATGAATTTTAGAAATAATGTCAGGGATTAAAAAAATTCTTTTGACATTATCTTCAAATTTCCTCCATTGTACTTCACTCCTGAATTAACAGTAAAAATAAACTTCATAGAATGAAAAATTAGTGAGAGACAATGATTACACACATGCTTACAATTAGCAAAAAAGCTTTGTTTAAAAGTATCTTGATAGAATTCTTGGGAATTAGAATCGAAGGGAAAGGGATAACTAGGGAAAATCCTCTTGAAAAATATTCTATTTCAGACTTCGTTTTATCGCAAGAATCAATAATCCCGACAATCCTCTCACAAAATGGCAATTTTTAAGAGAATTTTCCCTAAAAATTTAGAAAGAAAAATCTCAATTCAGTTCAGTTGAAATAACAAAAAAAATTAATTGAAATAATTTTAATATTTCTGTCAATATTCACAGAGATTCATATAAACAAATAATTAAGATAAAAATTTTGAAGGAAATTCAAATGAAATACAAAATATTGAATGAAAAAGTAACGAAAAACAGATTTTTCACTGGTGTGGAATTGACATTATTGTTCAATTATTGAAGTTATAATCCATTGGTCGTCTTAACAGTCTTACAACAGTGTAAAGTTTGATGAAATGAAACGAAGAATGAATGAGATAAATGGAAACATTATTATGATTGAAGAATGAGAGGAGTAATTTACTCGTGTATTATTCGTGTGATTGAAAATGGTGATTTTTTTGTGCTTATGCAATTGTTAAACATTGACGTAGTCGTGTACATCGTGTGATGAAAAAAAAATGAAATTATAAAGATTCGATACAAATTGTGCACAGAACGATTAATTAGGCGATTTGTCGATCAAATTGTTCTTTTTTTTGTTCGTTTTTCATATTTTTCTTTTGTCTTTAGTTTTTTGTAATATAATTATTCAATTATCTCAGCTTACACAGTCTCGTATTCACGGCGGATTGATCGAGCCAAAAAGCAGGCGAATATCACTCCGATGAGCTGAAAGAAGAAAAAATTGAAACATTAATTTTTTTGCAATTTCCGATTTTATTTCATGACGTAAAACTAATTAGTGAATATTAATGAAAAAGATGATGTGAAAAGATTCATTTATTGTAGAATAATTTTCATGTGTTTGAATATATTTTTTCTTTTAGGGATCATTATTATGAATTTGTTGTGCTTTTTTCAGAGTTGGAAAGAAATTATAGCAATTTCGATTTCATTTAATTATTCTTAATTATAAACAATCGCAAGAAAACGGCTAGATCTCTGATTCCAATCGCACAATTGCTTCAGGAAACTTTGTTGTTTTTTGTTGAGGGTCAAACTGGTCTTAAATACGTGGTGTTGAGGGTTAAATTGTCTCAAGAGTCAAATGGACCTTTGTGATTACTCTCTTCTGATCACGACCACTTGACCATTAATCCTAAACATTTTTACGGGTCGTTTGACCCTCAAGACCTTTTGACCCTCAACTTCAAACGTCCTTAAGGGTTATTTGACCCTCAAGACCATTTGAAGCTCAACTCCTAACGGCTTTAAGGGTTGTTTGACCCCAAGACCATTTGATCTTTGACTCCAAGGTCAAAGGATCGTTTGACCTTGAAGACTATTGGAACTTCAACTCCAAGATACTTGAGGGTCATTTGACCCTCGATTCCAAACGTCCATAAAAGTTGTTTGACCCTGAGGATCATTTGAGCCTCAACTCCGAACGTCTTTTACTGTCGTTCAACCCTCCAGATCCTCTGACCCTCAACTCCAAACGTCCTTACAGGTTATGGGACCCTGAAGACCATTTAGACCTCAACTCCAAACGTCTTAAAAGGTAGGTTGACCCTCGAAACCGTTTGACCTTCAACTTCAAAAGTTCATAAGGGTCGCTTGACCCTCAGGATCATTTGCGCCTCAATTCGAAACGCCTTTTACTGTCGTTTAACCCTCAAAAGCCCATATAATCTTTGACTCAAAATTACTTTAAAATTCGTTCGATTCTCAAAAATATTTCAACCTCAACACCAAATGCCTTTAAGAGTCGTTTGACCGTCAAGACCATTTAAACTTTGACTTTAAACGACTTGGAGAATCGTTTGACCTTCAAAACCATTATGCCCCGCTCTCCTCTATGAAAAATCCCCAGGAGAATATCAAACATTTTTTCCACTCATTAATTAAGTGATAAAACCCAATTAGTCACATATGAGATTTACTAATCAAGTAATTATCTCGGAAATAATTGATTTCAGAGGGAAAATAAAACTCAGGAGACTCGCAGTCCCTCGTAGCTGATGAAATTCTCCGCAAGAGAGGTTTATTGACCTTCTGCCCCTAAACCTCTCATTGTCAAGATAAATTTGTAATTAATTGAATGAGATAAGTGCAGTGAGATTACTACACCACTACAGAGCAGAATATTTCAGTTCATCTTCACGTGTTATAAAAGAGTTATCAATCAAATGCAATGTTGCTTAAATGAATTATTGATACTATTCTCTTGCGACAAATCAATATTCGCTAAATTTTCAATTGTGTTTTTGATAGAGCATTAATTTTTGATAGTTTTAAATATGAGAAATTTTTTTTCCGATGTAGAAAATATGATTTTTACGATCAAAAAATTTATTGATCATTCGTTATCCATAACAAAACTTGCAACAGAAAATTGTTTCAAAGATTTTATGTTATACAAGAGAATGAATAAATTAATGGAATTCAAGAAAAATAAATCTCTAAAATGGTCTAAAAATGTTCTATAATGTTCCAGAATGTTCCAAACGATTCTGTACCTTTGAAGACTTCCTGTTCTAAAACGTTCCAGAATGATCTCCAATGTTCTAGAATGGTCCAGAATGTTCTAGAATTTTCAAGAATGTTCCAAACAATTCTGGATCACAGAATACTTCTTGTTCTGAAACGTTCCGGAATGTACCCAATGTTCTAAAATGGTTCAGAATGTTCTAAAATGTTCCAAAATGTTCTAAAATGTTCCAGAATATTCCAAACGTTTCTGAACCATCCATCCATTTCTGTTCTGGAATGCTTCAGAATGATTCCCAATGTTCCAGAATGTTCCAAAAGACTCGGAACCATCGAAGATTTTCTTAATGGTCAAGAATGTTCTAAAACGTTCCGAAATGTTCTAGAATGGTCAACAATGTTCTACAATATTCCGAAATGTTCTAGAATGTTCCTAAATGCTCTAGAATGTTGCAGAATTCTATGTTGCAGAGTTCTATAATCTGAAAACAGAAGTCCGGAATTTTCTAGAACCGTTCTAGGTCAATTCGTCCCAAAAAATATGACTCCTCAACAATTTAATTCCAACTTTGCCATTAGAATGTTCTATGAACCGGAAACGTAAGTCCAGAATCTTCTAGAACCGTTGTAGGTGAATTCGTCCCAAAAAATATGATCCCACGATTTTCTTTTGCTAAATTAAATCTAGCTTTATTGAGAATATAATGATGTAGTTTAGCTTCATAATTTCTGCATTTGAGGGTTCATTTTTAAAAATCATATTTGGTAGGAACTCACTGGTTTTCCCGAGCGAAACGAGCGTCACCCATGCCAGTAAATAATTAACAAATAACAAGTCAAATGTGATGAAGCTAATTTACCTGAATCAGGGCAACTCCGATGCCAACACCGCCCAATATGTAGGCTTTATTCTCAATAGTATCCTTGAATTTCTTCAAGCATCCATCGCTGTTCGAGGCAACAGCGTTAACATCGCACTCAGCTGTTGCTGATACCTCGGCACAACAAGAGGGTGGTAATTTTGGTTGTTTGAACTGCACCGGCCACCAGTCGGCTGATCCATTAATACCACAGCATTTGAACTGAAAATAAAACGATTGAATATCCCTTTTTCATCTCCCCCTAAGCTATCCGCAAATTGTGTTAACAAGGGAATAAACTGGGGAGTTAAAATTAGAGGCATTGACGAGCAGAGGAAGTTGTGAACACAACAATGGGTTAAGACCTATTTTGCTGCAGAATTCGAAGAGCTGCAGGGGGAAGAAGTTTCCGGTTGAAATTTTTCTTCGGTTGTGACTCGGCAAGTTTACGAGTTTCTATCTATACACTCTATTTTTCATTTCGCAAGTTGGAGAATGGGATTTCCTGTGGGATGGAGGTCTATGGAGAACTTTTTAGAATGTCATTTTAGAGCAACTACTTCCTGTCAATTTACGGTCATAAATAATATAAAATATCCAAAAAAAATCGAACTCAAAAAAATCCTTTCATTTTTGTTATTGTTATCAATTTTTTGAGCCACGACTAATCCTATTTTGATGACAATTTTTTCAATGATCGTTGAAAAATCGGTTTTTGGAAAAAAAAATTTTTTAAATCTGTATGAAAAATTGAACTTTAATTGACGTCAATGAATAGAGCTTATTAAAGTCTACATTCATGGAAAAATTCATAAAATTTAATTGATTCCTTTTAAGGCAATTCCAAATAAATGAAGAAAAAAGACACCATCTAAAAATCGCATATTCAGACTTTTTATCGAATTTCCGTACCACTGAAATTTCAAGGAATTTCGTCATTGAAAATTCAGAATCTCGTGGAAAAATCAAAGAGAACTCTAATTTTCAGTTGCGTTTTTCCCTGAAAATGAATAGAAAACCAGAAAATTCCGGTGAATATATTCATGAATTTTCAGGACAGTGACACTGTCAAAATCATGAAATTTCACATTTCACTGAAAATTCAATGTAATTTAGCACTAAATATTCATATTAGATTAGAAATTCGAATAAATTAAGAAATTCTCATCTTTATGCTGCTTAAAATCCTGGAATTTTACTGAATTTTCAGTGAAACCTGAAAATGCATGATTTTTCCCCCTAAATCGCATTCAGTGTCACTGTCCTGAAAATTAGTAGTCAACTGTCTATGAAATTTAATTTTTTTCGAACAGGGTAACACAAAAAATTGGAAACTTAAATTTGAGCGATAACAAAGCTTCCATTTGGAAACAAAATGATGCGACCCCTCCTTAACCCTAGTCTGGTCACTATACTCGAGCCTGCGACTCTGGTCACCTCTGCGGGGATTCCCCGACGTGCTATTTAGGCTCTAGCGTTGCCGAATTCAGTCTACACTGCCCGGGCGCGTTTAGCGAGTTTCCGGCAACTTCGCGTGATGGGCAGTTTCATTTAACGATGTTCAAGAGCGGTTAAAAAACGCAGCCAATTTCTTGAAATTTTTTAAGTACATTCTCCGATATATTTCGATGCTCTTGGATTAATTATTTCCCATTTATTATTAAAATTGCATACACAAATGGTTTGATGCATGTAGGATGTAGGAAAAAAATTAAATAGTTATAAAAAATATTATTTGACTACAGAAGAATCTAAATGTTCGTCTTATTTAAGGGATTGCGTTTCTCAGGAATACAATAGATTCCCCTCCGCCTCACCTCCTACATTCCGTCATCGTTTGAACATCGTTAACATGGAAAAAAATAATTCAGTAGCGAAGTGGTAAAACGGTATAAGTCAATTTTGACTATTGGCCAGTTTTCAATGAATATCTCGTAATCTAAGGGAGATAGAATACTTTTTGTTATAACCTTTTTTGTAGACCCGATTGAGAGCTACAACAAATGTAATTACGAAAATTTCGCTATTTCTCTTAGATTCGGAAATATTCTTCAAAAACTCAACTGGGAGACAAGTTGACTTAAACCATTTTACCACTTCGCTACTGAATTCATCTGTTCGAAATAATTTATTTTCTTTACGAATTTCGGAAAATATGTTGTTCTAAAAACTACTATAAATCTTTAGACACTTCAATTGAGAAAGTCAATTTTTTTTAATTTTTCCGGTTAGCCAGTCAATTATAATTAAATAAAACCGACGCGCGGCGGTGTTTCCCTCATATGGTGACCAATCTAGGGTTAATCATCTCAATTCTCAATGAAAAATATGAAACCAAAGCCACATAACGTAATTCAACATGGCAATTCGATCAACCAATCGACCTTGGTAACTAGGTCTCGATGTAGCCCACGACTTCTCCTATTATCAATAAAAATTACCCAACAAGACCTTTCACTACGAGCACTGTTGTGCAATATTTTATGACTCGTGTGACACCTCTGGAATATGCGAACACGAAACCCCGGGTCATTGCCTTCAACCTCTTCCTCCAATACCATAAACAGTGTGCATCGTGCATCGCATACAAACGTGTGATAAGTTAAAAAAAGAAATGAGTGCTACTGTACTGTTACAATTCTGGAAAAAATAAGGGGGAATGTTATGGGGTTGGTAAAAAAAACTATTGCAACGAGGGTGAGGGCATGGGGCAAAAATGTTTTCTGAGAATTCTCTTGGGGCTGAACTGCACACGGTCACGCAATAATCGTTACCAACACGCGACCCTTCCTCCGCGTCTCGACCCCTTGTCTAGACAACTTTTTGTGAGTGGTTTTTCATTTTCAATCAACGAAACGCTGATTTCTGCATCTCGGGAGGCCTTTCTCTACTGCGATGCGGCGGTTCTGAGGGCTCAGATGTTGGGTTTGGTGAGGATGTGGTTTTTTAATTATCCGGGATGATGGCATTACCGTTTCCCGTGGTAGGACTGAGGACAATTGGATATTACTGTTAGTCTTCGTTTTAGGCGACATTCCCGAGTGGAAATTTCACTCAGTTTGGATCTACATTAGTTTTACATTCAATACTGGTCAGAATTTATTGATTAGACTTTCGGATCAGGATCTGATGAGATTCTGAATGGAGTATTTGTATTCATTGTGGCGGAGTGAATTGTGATCCTATTCTGATCAGTCAAATCTCGACTAGATCCGTATCGGATCCGGTACTGTTCAGGAATATCGAATCCTAGAATTTTGACCAGGCATGGACCCAAACAAGCGTTACATTTCTGATCCAAAATTGATCAAAATCAGTTTTTACTGGTCAGTCTCTTATTCTATCCTAATTTGAATTTCCACTCGGGTCAAGGGGAGACTACTATGAGTTTTAAAAGTCGTGGGTTATTGGAGTGAGACTTTTCACACGTTGAAGATCGATTATACAGATCTGAAAACGAATAATTAGTGGAAATTTTTTTTTATTGTTCGTTTGCCCGAAAACGCTTAAAATGCTAAAAACAGTCCAGGGCCTCCAATTTTTGAGCTACAGAAGATTTTTTTGTTTCAAAATTTTCGGAAAAAGGTGTGGAACTACAATTACGAGCCAGTTTTTTGGAATTCGACTCCTACACAGCTGATTTCTTTTTTTTTTCGCNGCTAAAAACAGTCCAGGGCCTCCAATTTTTGAGCTACAGAAGATTTTTTTGTTTCAAAATTTTCGGAAAAAGGTGTGGAACTACAATTACGAGCCAGTTTTTTGGAATTCGACTCCTACACAGCTGATTTCTTTTTTTTTTCGCAAATTGCAAATTAATAATTTGATGTATCTAATGGCTGTTAGATCGTCATTTGTCACAATAGTCAATGGCTGTCAGATCGTTAGTTACCATGATAAATTATCCATTCACTATTTCCTCTCTATCGGACTTATTTCTTAATCTTCATTAAAAACGCTCTTTGAAAATGTTCAGTTTTTTTTCTACTTTTTTTTATTGTACAATCATAATTTTTAGGCACCCCTGCGTGATGTAAAATCCAATGGAAATTGTGATATATTTTACATTATGAAGATCGAAAAACAATCTATATAACGTTCGAAAGATAATCCACCCGGGCCTTAAATTTTTAATTATTGAACTATCACTGGGAAATTATATTTCAATTTTCCAAAATTAAAGAATTCTCATGTTACTAGGCTACTTAAAATCCCACGTAAAGACTTGATAACCCTTACTAGAAAATGAAAGTCGTCTGAAATATTCAAATACTAAATTATTTAATTCAGGATCGTGTGGGCACAAAGTATGCAGTGAAAGCCTTGTGCTGTACACCTTCAAATATTCATAAATCATCGATTGAAATTATCTTTGCACCCTCGTGAAAATCGTCACCTCCGCCTAAAAAAACATTCAAAAACTTCTGCCAGCGAATTTTCCCGGTGTTTTTCCGTCGCAAAAATTAAAATTGAGAATCGAAGAAGTTTCTATTGATTTTTGATAATCAGAAAATATCACGTTTTGAAAGATAAAACAAAAAATTTGTTTCCATTTTTCATTTTCTTGTTTTTTTTGGTATTCCACAGGCACAAGGGGATCCGCCAATAATACCATTGAGTGCATTCGTGCGAAGATACTCGAGCCTTACGCAGACTATACGTGAAAATATACTAGGGGGAGTAGAATGATATTGATTTGCAATATGAGCAAGGTCTGACAGGCTCGTACGTGGCAACTTTAAGGTACTCCATCAAGTGTATATGATACGCTACGTGTCATCATGGCCGTCTAGGTAGCCCTCTTTGTCCTCGGCTCGATTTTTTTTCCTCGACACTCTCAGCGCTGTTTCAGGGCGTAATTAAGTGTCCTACTTATGGTTTTTGCTTCGGAATGGAAGCTTTGTAATCGTTTAAATTCAAGTTTTGAATTTTTTCGAGCATGTGTCAATAAAATTTTTCTATTAAGGGGAAACGGAACCTCTGCGTTTATATGAATCTTTAGAATTGTGTTTTCTCCTGCAATTATTATTTTTTATTCATTAAACTACATCATTGACTCAACAATGCGATAATCGAGTTGATAAAGTAATTTCATAGATAGAAATTCTAAGATTTGATGTAGACAAAGGGGTTCCGTCTCCCCTTAAGACCCGGGTGTACTATCTTTCGAACGTTATCTCGATATTTTTTTTTATCTTTCGTCATCTGGAAATTTCAATTGAGTCCTGCATCATGCAGAAGTTTTGAAAAATTATGAGTGAATAATCAAAAAAAGTAGAAGAAATTCTTAATTTTTTCAAAGGGCATTTTTAGTTTATATTCAGAATAAGTTGAATAACAATAAATTGAAAAATATATCTGATTTACGGTGACAAATGGCGGCCCGTCACCCAATATCATGCAGGGGGAAGACTGATTTCGTAAATCTTTTTCCACACTGCGCAGAGACATTTATTACGGAAAAGACTCTTTGAAAAAAGTTGTAATATTTGGAGAATTTTTTAATCACACTTTTATCATATAAAAATGGCAGATGATTACATACCACTGTTTTGAAAATTGAGATACCTAGCTGTCACTTCCCATGAGGAGTTAGTGTTTTGTTATCCACCATGGAAAATGACAGCTAATAGATAATTTGCCACAGCGAATCAGATATTTGTAATTTTCACTTTTTTCAACTCATTCTGAATCTCAATTAAAAACGCTCTTTGAAAAAGTTCAGGATTTTTCTTTTTTTTTAATTATTATTCTATCATAATTTTTGGGAGTTTCTACATGATGTACCACTTAATTGACAATTTTGGATTACGAAAGATAAAAAAATCCAGTTAACATTCGAAAGATAGTACAACCGGGCCTTAACATTTTATCAAAGGGCTGAGGGGAGAGATAGAACCGGAAAAAAGACAGTCGGGTGTATAGAAGACAAGTGGGGAATTGCTATGTTCTTGATATTGTCTAGTTATTTTTGCTAATAAATTAGCAATATGCTTCCGAATGGTCATCTTGTACATCATTTTTTTTATTGTATATCAAATTTATCCTTTCATATTATTTCATTTATTTCTATTACATATCTATTTCAATTCATTATCTGTGATCCTCAACTTAAACCAATTATTATCATTCAATGATTACTATGATTATCCTCATTATCTTTTTTTTATACAGCCGATTTCTTCTTATGGTTCTATTACTCTCGTCTCTTTGTCACTTTATGGACTGTCATTTTTGTTTTAATCATATGGTATTTACTTTGAGAGCTATATTTTCTGTTTCGTTTTTTAACGATCAGATGAAATCTTTTCTAATTTTGGTTGACACCGTGGCTTGAATGTATTTCAACGATACATTTTATCCGAAAATCTTTTAGAACTATTCAATTTCAGTGATGAGTATTTATATTTATGTTCAACAGTTTTTTATGTCTCGAAATTTCATTGGTAATTCACTATTTTTCACTATTTTATTATTTTTGGAAAATTTAAAATCGTTAGAATGGAATTTAAATATTTTCAGTGGAATTGATCTTCTACAGGTACACTGGGGTTGCTCACCACCCCACTGCATTTTCTTCTGATTGTCATTCCTGTATAAATGAACCTCACAGGATTTACTTTTGAGGGCAAAGAACGTTGCATAAATTTTTCGTTGAATTTTGCAGTCCATATTTTTCTCATATTTTTGTCACTATTTTTCGCGTGATATAAAGAAACAGCTTTGAAAGACGCAGGATAATACCCTCATATCGAGAAAAACACTCATTAAAACCGCAGATAGAACTCGATTGAATTAATGGAATAGTTCATTTTATAACGAATCTTTGTTTTTCTTCAATTAATTTCGAGATTGTAATAATTAATGAATTGTTTTCAAGTTGAAGAATGATTCATTCGATTATAAAGTGGCGAAACAACAAGATTACTTGCCTCAGAACAGATACGAAGTATTTTTAGAGCCGATTAAATTATTTACCCAGGGAAAGTGATTAAAAAAGATTAATTATTCTTAGGAAAAAATACAGAGGAAATGAATTTTGTGGCATGCATCAATTCCTCAATTCATTATTTGAATTTAAAAAATCTGGAGACTCAATTCCGAAGCCAATTGATCTATGAGACCATCTGATGTTCGACTACAAAAGTAGAAAACAATTTCACTGGAAAAAAAATAGCCAAAGTACTTGGATGTCCTTAACCCTAGTCTGGTTACCCTACGCGACCCAACGACTTGGTCACGTCCGCGGGGAAGTGCCGCCGTGTTATTTAGGCCCGAACGTTGCCAAATTCACTCTACACTGCCCGGGCGCGTTTAGCGAGTTTCCGGCAACGTCGCGTAACAGGCAGTTTCATTCAACATGGGAAAAAATAATTCCTCTGTGAGAAAAAAATTGTTTTCTTCAGGAATTTCGAGAGTTATGTTGTTCTGAAACTACTCTAATTTTTTAAATACTTTAATTGGAAAAGTCAAATTTTTTGAATTTTTCTGATCAGCCATTCAATGGTAATTCAAGAAAAACGACGGGCTGCGGCGTTTCCCTCATATGGTGACCAATCTAGGGTTAAGGAACTTCCGCACTAAATATATGGGAGTAGAAGGAAATGGCCTGCAGAGCTGAAATTTTGAGAATATATTCTTTGAGTGATTGCAAATATCCTCCCGAAGCCCCAAAACGCTGAACCAGGTAGATTGTTGAGGAGAAAATATGAAAAATGTATCATCAACACAGAGTCTTATGGCACCATTCTTTCAAAAATCACAAAAAAATAATTGACAATGGAATAAAAATCCAAACGGTTCACGAATAGAACCGTAAATATTTCATGAATATATCCCCACAATTTCATTAGCCGTTACCACAGAGATTATTTGTAATTATTGAAAATGTATGGCATAGTTCGGGATTTTAGTTACGTTAGAGGAAACTGATGGCTGAATATGGCAACGTTGAGGGAGATTAGAGTGCGCGCGGCGTAGGCCATCGTGTGAACTCCGCCAAGGCATATACTATAGATTCTATAGTACAGTGTAGGATTTTATCGAGACGCAAGAATACCAACTGCGTCGAACAAAAATGCGTGGTTGTCAAATCTCTCATGAAAATTTTTATTTGTTAAAAAATTCGGATAAATAATATTTCGGAATAAAAATTATTTGGAATTGATTAATAGTGAATAATAAGTGCAAAGAAACCCAAACGACGAAATTTCAATACACCCTTGAGCCTTCCGTAATTTCGTTATTTTTTTTTCAAAGGATGCAGCGGAGTGTCGGAACCTTTGATATTTTCCCCTGCTCCGTAGTCCCAAAATTTACTGCGGAAGTTGTTTAAGGGTCAATTATTTAATATGTTACGAGAGTGCATGATAATAAATAAATAAAATAAATGAATATTCTGACTTTTTAGACTATATTTAGTTGCCCTAATACAAAAAATAGGAAACTTAAATTTGAGCGATTGCACAGCTTCCATTTGGCAGCAAAACCGACTGAAGAAATGTTCGTTTTTCTTCCACCAACTTTTACATCTTCACTTGTAATTATAGAAATTGAAAGAATTACTTACATCAACTTGAAGGGTATCCCAGGCATTATGCACATCGCCGTCAGTGTGGTACGTTGACATGGAGTTGTTCATGCGGTTAAGTAGCATCTTACCGACCTCATTACGCATCATGTATCCCGAAATGCCTGCACCCAGCTCGAGGGCGAAGATAAGCAGTAGAAGAACTGAGAACTAAAGAAACAATGAGAGAAATCAGTCGTGAAGTTCAAGTCGAAAACAACATGTTTGTTAATTTCGTCATGTCGATGGCGAGTCATTTTAAGAGAAAATGTCAGAGGATTTTTTTGTAGAGACGAAAATTGCTGACATATTCCCCTGATGATACTCGTTATTTTAGACGATTCTTAGGTAGACGATCCACGATCTCAATTATAAAATTATTGATGTCGAATGTGGAGTTTTCGTTAATTATGTAATTACATCAATAATGAGGGGTTCAACGAGGAAATGTCAAAAGATCTTCATTTTTAGGGGACTAGACTAGACGCACGCGCTGACCTATCGCCTCATTTATTTCATTGATATAAAAAGTTATTTTTATTGAGATATTTCTTTCTCGGAACAAAGATTGTATACTCGAACCAATTTCAAATAAATAAGATCTTACCATGAATATCAATTATTTGTTCCTGAAATACATTTACTTGAATCAAATAAAACAGTCCTTGGCGTCAAGTCACATGTATTCACCACAAAAAAGGAAAAGTTCTTTTTTTTTTAACCTAATACAATCTCCAGTCGAGAAATTTTCTACTTTCATGAATTGATCCAAAATTCGTACCGAGGAGATGATTACATTGAGGAATGAATTGAATGTTGTTTTCTTGAATGAAGCCGATGTTTAAATTGAGCTTTCCGTACATCACATTGAACGAAATTTGTGATGTCCAAGTTTATGTAGAATTGCCGTAATCTGTGCTTCTGTTATTGTAAACTAATGCGATTTTTTTTAGTCAAGAAATATAAACTTCTTTCAACTCAACGACATCTGACTACAATGTCAAAGCTTTTTCCGCGTAACAATATTCATCCTGATTCGACACACAAAATGTTCACTTCAATTATAATTTACTTGGAACAACGTATGATCGTGTTGATTGAGATAACAACGTATTTAGTCATGACAATAATTTTGATTTTTGAGTAAAACAACGAATTTCTGGAGTCAGAAAACTTTTGGGTAGAAAGAAATCAGATACTCTCATTATTGCGACAAATAAAAGGAGCTTCAACTCTAGAGAAGTTCGAGTTCTCCCAATCAAATGTATCTCAAGAAGAGATAACTGGTATCTACTATAAAATCATCTTTATTTGAAAATTAACAACCTAATGATAGTTGGTTCAAATAAAATTCTCATGATAAAATTAATTTTTTCTGTCAGTGTTGTGAGATGTTTCCTTTTCTTCATTCAAATTTCAAATATATTGAATTTCATACCCTCATATATGCATTAAAAAATAGATGATGCAACGGAAAAAAAAGAATCAATAATAAAAATGAATGATAAGTGAAAAATGAATGAATAATTTTGAATCTGTGATGGATTGCCTTTCAGTTGCCCAATTATACTATTCAAATTGTCCAAATTATTTAGGTCAGAGGGAAATAGAATTATTCAACTTTCTTAATGCTGGGTTTACTAAGGTTTTCTTCAAACAAAGTTGATGAGTGTAAATAGCAAGAATTATGGCATTTTCTGATATTTTTGACGTTAAGTATGAAAGAATCTGAATGGAACACAGTGAAAACAATGATTGATTTTTTCACTTTGAACAGATAATTGTAATATTCATTAGAAGATTTCTGATGCGAATAAAAAGAAGCTAACACAATATTTCAAATTAAGTTTTAGTTCTTAATTTGGCACGAAATTGTGTTAGTAAGATGAACAACAGATTAATCAAATTACCGAGTGAACTGACTAAAGTCGGATATTACGTTACAAGTGTGAAAAAGGGGTATGTTAAGGATGTTTAACCCATCAAATAGACAACTGAGTTGAAAAGAAAAAGAAAATTGACGAAATAAATCATTCATGTTACAAATTATTTTTCTCATTAAATTAGAAGTGTTGTAGCGTACTTTTTCGCTCTCAAAAACAATAATTAAAGAAAATGTTCAAAAATAATGGAGGACTTGTGACTGCGGTGGTAACAGTCGAATTCTGATCGGGCAACATCGCACGCTTCGGCTAGTAGTGGGGTTGTAACAGTGAGATGAATGTTTGTGTGTGCTATACGTGTCCATATGCTTCCAGCACTGGATTATCGTCACCGACTTTACCGACCTCGATCAGCTGTTGTGCGGTGTTGTCGCGTCGCTCGACTCGTAATGGCGGTCAAATTTTTTTTTGAGGAATTCGAAAATCAATCGAAGATATCACGGCTATATGACCCGGTCCCCTACTTGTTCTCATCGGCAATAGATTTTCCACAGTCTAAAGTAAATGGCTTGTGATTTTTTTTTCAATATCTTGAGTGTCTAACCCATGCAACATTTCGATCAAAGTTCACACGGTCACGTTTCTTACCTAAGCGTAATGTTACAGGAAGTGTTTTCAGACATTAATTTCTCACTAGGATGCCCCGATGGAAGGATTAAGATTATTACTAACGTGTGGCTCAAATATGAACCTGGCATATGAGACAATATCAGAATTATGGTGAATAATGTAAGTTTTGACTAAACATCCTTAAATAGACACTATGGACTGGACAATTTCTCTGAAGCTAAAAATATGCTCTCAACAATAATTCTTACTTATTGAAAACAATGCAGTTTCGTAACTGGGCCTTGTTTCTTAAAGGTTCTATGACTGCATCACTAACGGTATTATGAATTTTTAAAAATTTCCTGAACAGTCCCTGTGGGATTCGGTGAAGGATAGAAGGGTTTTGTAACGTAAAACACTCGGAATTAACGTATATATCGAATTGAATTTATTCACAGCGAAAGTAACTTTGGTTTACACCATGAGAGCTGGAACGAGAGTGAGCTCCTGCGACAACGGTATTAGATCATCCGATCGAGGATGTCCGAATTATTACAAATCGTCGCGGGGATGTCTTGCGACAAGGACAGCGATATATCGACGACACGTGTCACGGTACGAAAGTCGGTTGCTAAGCCGAGCTCGAAAACAATACATTGAAGTGGTGTGAAATAACGATAAAAGTAGGTTCGCTACAGTCCCTTTTCCTCATTTTCTCTGAAGGCGATTATCGAGATGATTGAATAATTGCTTGGGTGGATGCATAAACGAAAAATGGCCTAATAATTATGCAATTATCTCGATAGTCAGTTGGTTTTCGGTGAACTGCCGAAGGTCTTTTTTGTAGCCCATAAAATTTCATACAAACAAAGATTTCTCATATTCTTGTGTTGAACCACTAATTAGCGAGATAATTCAATAATTAAAAATCAATGACAGTTTAAATAAAATGTAAAATTTTTGTTAATTCTGAAATGATTCCCATAATGGGTTGGTTTGCAAAAAAAAATCAACTTTAATAACAGTTTCTATCGAATTTCCTTTAGTATTCAATAGAATTCAAAATTCTTGGACAACAGGAAAATGAGAATTCCGCAACTCAATTTTCAATAAAAATATGGATATTCAGTACCTAATCACACTGATTTCTCAATTAATTGAAAATTCCAATATATATATTTACCTGAATTTTCTAGATTTTTAGATGAATTTTCACGGAATAATTGAATCGAAATTTATTGTTCCCATAGTTTTTTCCATGCAACTGGCATTTTTCAATGAAGAAATTCCTTGAAATTTAGTTGAAGTTTTACAAAATTGTCACATGATGAAAATCTAAACCAAAAAATTTCAACTGTGCAAGAGACCTTTATTATTGTCCATCAAATTTCTCAAAAAAGTGAAAATTCGATAATCAGCAAGCGATAATAATTCAACCGGAATATAAAATTCATGTCCATTTTGGAATAATCTCTGTAAAATATGAGAGATCTTTTCGTAGCCAATGAAATTCCGTCCAAAAAAGTCACGAAATCAACATAACATGTGATAGTTATGATACTTAAGGATTAATCATGCAGTTGCACTTTTTCTTATCAAATGTTGAGACTTACGGTGATTATCATGCAGTGGTTTTCCTTGACGGCCCCACAGCAACCGAAGAATGATATCAGGAAGACGATAACGCCGACAACTATCATAAGAACTGGTGCCGCAAAGAACCAATTATCTACGAAACTACGATAGCCACTGTAATAACTGAGGATCACTCCACCCACTGTGATGAATACTACTCCAGTTATCTGTAATTAAACGGTTTTTCATTCATAATGAGTTAATTAAGGTTTATTGCGATTATTGCGTATCCAGAAATATGAAAATTAATTTATGATGCATTCTATTGATCTGTTGTCTTCGAAAACGCGTTTGACTTTCAGATATTTAATTTCATTTTGAAAAGTGAGAAAAATTCGAATAAAAAATTCTGACGGATATTTGATATCTGACCGATATTTGAATTCGAAAGCTGTTTTTTTATTTTATTCCATAAAGACCCAACAGCACAAGGCCAATTACAGGATCAAACTACAGTCTAGATACAATATAAAAATGAAATCATTAATCGATAAAATTTGACAAAGCTGTCATGACGGCAAGCATCACTAAGATCATCCCCCTTTCTCCACTCATTTTTGGAGCACGTGAAAAACACATAATGATGGCATATGATATTTGTCGATGAGCATTTATAATTATGGTCGACCCTTAAAACCCTGAAGCGTTGGAGTACAATTTTTTAAATTTAGACACCAATTAAACACATGAAAAACACTTAATTTTGGTAAAAAAAAGTGACCTTTTTTGACCATACTCTGCTAACTTTACAGAGGTCTAAGATCAAACAGTTTACAAATTGTTTAGATTTATTGAGAAATAGATAGGGAAAGATAGGGCAAAATGGACCCCTAGAGCAAAATGGACTCTCTTTTTTCATTGAGGAAATTTTTCGACATTTTAGTGAACCTGTCTCTTCGCGATAGTACCGAAAAGTGGATTCAGGGTCAGATGTGCCTGAGAAGGACTCATTAGATCAACCAGATTAATAGGTAGACACTAACCAAAAGATAGACGACTTCAACTTTTTTTTAGTATTCTATAAAAAATGTAATAGAAATTGTATTACAAATTTCCATTCTTGATAATGAAACTAATGTACAATAATACGATGATTTTCTTATTTTTTATTGATGAACATTTTAAACGGAAAAAAAAATTCTCGCCAGGTACAGTATTGGCCCTCAGTGGCGGTGTGAGTAGTCAGACAACAGTCACGCAGTGTTGACGGAACAATGTGAAAAAACAGTCATCAGGACAAATGACCACGGTATCTGTTCAATTATTATTATCGAAAAGGATCATTCTTCATTTTTAAACGTGCAGAAGGATGAATTTGTTTGAATAACCATTAAATATGAGCGTCTATCTATTAGTGACCCGCCGTCTATCTTCTAGTCGTTTGCCTACCCGGAGAAAAATATCCAATAAAAATTAAACATCTCCGTAATTCCGGAGCGAAATGTGGTTGTAGGAAATTTTACGGAACTGTCACGGAATTTTTTCAGAGCATTCCGTAATTTTTATCTGAATCCTATGAAAAATTACGAATTTTATTTTGGTCCAATATATTCACTGAAATTTTTTGAAAAATATAAAAAGGGTCCAAAACTTTGAAAACGACTCGTTTTTTGAAGTTTTTTGAGGTTTTTCTAAGGAAATCGATGGAAGAACGAATTGAAAAAAATTGGCATATTTTTATATGGAAAGTGTGTTCAAAGACGCGCATTTTGTAAAAAAACCCAAATCGGTTGATTTTTACGGAAGTTACAGGCATTTGAAGATAAAACTTGTAAAAAAACATGACTGCCCACAGGATGCCTCAAAAAATCTGAAGAAAATTGAGAAGTCATATTTTTCCATATACAACCACAGGAAAAATCGGCAATATGATTGGCGATGGTGAGGGTTTTGACCTGGGTGAGTTCACATGGAATACCCCATATACTAATCGAAATTTAAAAATAGTAAAATAATTGGTAATCAAAATTTCCAATTGATGATGAACTGAATATTTGATAATATGGAACTGTAAATTTTCTAGTAAGTAAACGATGCTAAATTCTTATAAGGGATTTTCGATTATCCAAATAATCGTCAATCTTACTAATTAAATTACTGATTACTAAATAATTCGGAAATTGAATTTTTAAATTGATGATTTTTCCAATAATTAAAATTTAAGAGTGATATTAACGAAGTGACTACTTGATAATGTAACGGTAACTATAATTTATGGATATGGCTATCCCTGGGTGAATCTTTCATGAAATTTTATAGTAAACAATAGTTTTTGCGATATTCAACTCTAAAAATTGAAAATTTCGTGAAATCATTTCTTAATTGATTCAAACAATTGATTAACAACTAATTTCTTATTTCATTTGAACAGTATTTGTTGCCTTCATCATGTTGATACAACATGTGAGGATAAAAAAACTCAATAACTTATGAAAATGTAAGAAATTAAATCATTTCGAATTTTTTCCGGAAATCCACAGGAACAAACTTTTGGGTGGTATTTTTTTGGGATATAGGGAGGGGTAGGGCAAAACGGACCACTGACAAAAAATTGATAATTTCTTGATTTTTTTGATAGTTTTTGCTTCGGAATGGAAGCAAAAACAAAATCTCAAAATCATTTGTGGTTTAAGGTGATTAGCAAATCTGATCAAATTGCGGTTCAACGACACTTCTTGTCTATAAAACCCCTGTGACGGTTATGATCCTGAAACTCACTTTTAATTCAAACATTCCGTGTTCTAGATTTGTAGGAAAGAAAAAAAATTACCAATTTTCTGTCAGTGCTCCGTTTTGCCCTACCCTCCCCTACCTTAAGAATATCCAAGTAGTTCGTGCAATTTTTTCTGGCGGAAATTCTTTTCAGAATTAATAGAATAGACCAGGAGTATTTTTTAGGCATAATATATCAACCTTAGCTTCCGAACATTTATTTTTTGAGAAAATTATTTTTGAAAAAAATTGAATTTAACACATTGCGTCTATAAGAGCGGTACACTCCCACCTTCAATCCAATAGTTCGTAGTCTTACAGCATTTTTTCATACGAATAACCGTATTAACTTGATAAGCAATGATGCTGTTCTCACCATTTTTCAACTTGATTAAGAAGACATTCAAATATACTTTTCAAGCCCTGATGTAATTGCTATTACTGATGATTCTTTCAGTAATATGCTGTAACTCAACAGCGAATTGTGCAATCCTCATCGTATTCTGATAGAATGAAGAGGGTATTGTTATCAATTTTTTGAGCCATGACTAATTCCATTTTGATCAGATTTTTTTGAGTGATCGTCGAAAAATCGATTTTTGAAAAAATATAAATTTTTTCGAATTTGTACGAAAAATTAAATTTGAATTGGTGTGAATGAATAGAGCTAATTAGAGGCTATATTCATGAAAAAATTCATGGAATTCGATTGATCCCTCATAGGAAAATTTCGAGAAAACGACACGGAGAGAAATGTTCAGTAAAAATTACGGAATTCACAGTTCGCTCACCGATTACGGAATCGACTCAAAAAACTCAAGTCACGGTATCGTAATTTTTCACAAGAGATTCAGATAAAAATTACGGAACGCTCTGGAAAAATTCCGTGACAGTTCCGTAAAATTTCCTACAACCACATTTCGTACCGGAATTACGGAAAAGATACGTAATTTTTATTGAATATTTCTCTCCGTGTATGTCTCGCGTGTTAGAAGCCCGCATTTGATTACTTATCATCTCCTAAACTGTGTAGTACAGCTAGTTAGGTTTTTTTCAAATAGCTGAGAACTATTATAAACATTATTTATGAAAAACATGGGGACAATTTTACGAAAAAGCGGTTTTCTAAGGATATGGAGTAAACATGTCAATAGCTGGACAGTTAGGGAAATGTTGAGCTTCATTAAAGAATTTAAAATCGATGAAGTAGCTAAATGAATAAAAAACAAGTTTTAGACCTGAAAGAATAGACGAATTAGGAAAAAACAATAGCTTGAAGTGGAAAGAATGGGGAGAAGAATAATTCAGTAGCGAAGTGGTAAAACGGTACAAGTCAATTTTGACTATTGACCAGTTTTCAATGAATATCTCGGAATCTAAGGGAGATAGCAAAATTGTTGTTATAAACTTCTTTGTAGGGCCGATTGAGAGCTACAACAAATGTCATTATGAAAATTTCGCTATCTCCTTTAGATTCGGAAATATTCCTCAAAAACTCAACTAGAAGATAAGTCAACTTGAACCGTTTTACTACTTCGCTACTAATTAAATGCGGGAAAAGTGGAATATCGTCCAAATCCCCAATAACTGGACGCTAGGGCCAATAGATGGACAGTGGATGGCCAATACATGGACGCTCTGGAGGAATATAGAATTTTCATCCAGTTTATACAAACATGTGAATTTTGTTTTATTGAATGTGAAGAAATACAAGGCCAAATAGATTCTTAATCTTCGGCATGTGATTCTTCTCCTGAAAATATTGTGCTGTTTCCCACCTCTGACTCTTTCGGAAGAGAACTTCTTTTTTTTCTCCACGACACTTTGTCACTGATGCTTAGCAAATTGCAGCGCCATGTCACCCACCACTGTAGGGGAGGATGGGGTAAAATGGACACTTTAGACTTTTTTAAAATTATTTATAACTCCGAAAGAAATTCATCAATTGAGCTCAATTTAGGCTCGTCACAAAGAGAAAGAGTTGTTCTTTGTATTGAAAAAAAAAAATTATTGAATTTTATCAACATTTCAACCCCTCATTAACATTTTGAAAAAAGTCAAGTGTCCGTTTTACCCCACCCTCCCCTACCTCCCGAATATTTTATTTTGTTTCTCGCTGTAATGTGGATATTTTGAAAAAAAACTTCACATGATTATACATAAGTGTTATTATTGATAATGATAGTAATCCGTGCAGTTTTCATTCTATTGTTTATAGAATATTCAATAAAAGGTGAAATCGTCCAGATATTGGCCCGAGTCCAGCTATCAGCGTGTTCACCCTACCTTAAATTTGAGCAATTATAAAGCTTCTATTGGGGAGTATTAAAAAAACATTTGAAAAATTTAGAGGAGGGGGGCTCTCCCCTCCCCTAAATTAGGGGTGGGTGGAGTAAAATGGACACTTTTGACTTTTTAAAAATAATTTATAACTCAGAAACAAATTTATCAATTGAGCTCAGTTTAGGCTCATCACAAAGGGAAAGCATTGTTCTCTGTATTGAAAAAAAATTATTGAATTTCATCAACATTTCATTTTCNTTCTCTTAGAATTCTTTAATGCCTAAAGGAGGTTAGGCGGTGTTTGAGGTGAATTTGAGAGTGAATTTCTGTGGTTCCCGGTAGCTTAGTCGGTAAGAGTGCCCGGCGCGTACCTGGGAGACCCGGGTTCGATTCCCGGCTGGGTGAAGCGGAAATTTTTTCTCTCTAAATTCTAATTCTCTTAGAATTTTTTTTTTTACCCCTCATTAACATTTAAAAAAAAGTCAAGTGTTCGTTTTACCCCACCCTCCCCTACCATCCCCCCTCTAGGATCGCCCAAAACAACCCCAACCTCATCTGCTCTAGGTCCCCCCAGCCAACGATCCCCCCAGGAAAACCTTCAAAACCCCCATAGAAAAACCTCCAGAACCCCAACAAAGAAAAAAAAATGTCCTCCCCCCGCGCCGCGACTCCGCCTTGCGCTTCCCCTCAAACCTCTCAAAACCTTCCGAAAGGTTCGTCAACCCGTCCTCATTCCCCAGTACGCAGTAATGACGCTCCGAAAACAATAAATAAACCAAAAACAAAGGGGTGGAAATAAAATCGAAGAGATTAAAAATAGACGAAAATTCCCTCGTTTCCACCTTTATTTCCCATGAGTTCTCAACTCCGTGTGGGTTTGTTGTATTATCGAGCGGCCCCGAGTTATGTCTCGGACTATAGAATCCCCCAACGGGCGTCGAACAAAGGTGGGAACGGCACAAAGACCATTTTCAATCCCCTCAATTATTAATCATTTCGTTAATGATTTCGTTAATAACGAAAATAGAGATAACAAACTTACCGCGAAGATGAGATTGAAGAGGAACAGAAGGTACTTGACACAGGTCATACCACCGGACACCATTTTGATTGTATCCTGTCGGCTTTTTAACGAAAATTCACTGAATAATCAATCACTCTTCACCTTTTTTCCCCCACTCGATCGTCAATTGACGAACGGTTTTTCACTTTTTGTCGGGAGATTCACTGGGATTTTGCAACGGTAAATGTTTGCGTGGGCGATAACGTTGGGAGAAACACGTCCGAACACCTGGATGTCCCGCTCTGGAGTGCGGCGACAACGGCGGATATTTTTGTTGTGGTGGGTACGGGATTGTTGCTGAGATGCGCGCGCACCGACCCACGACTGAGCGAGTGGAAAGGGCCGTGGTTTTTTTTTTCGCTTGGTTTATTTGTTTTTGGGATCAGGACAGAGATGCAAAATGACCGTCATTTTTTAGATCGCGTGATGTGACCAAAAAATGACGGTCATGTGACGCACAAATTTTCCAACTACAAATGATTGTCGCAAATCATTTGTAACCAAATTGTTGTCAAACCATCTCTATAGTTGCATAATTACGGTCATAACTAATTTCCAGATTGTGACGGTCATGAATAAAATAAAATAGTTTCATCTATATGGATGGAAAAAAAACGTGATTTCCATTTCAAAATGCGGATTAGGCCAATACAAAAGGAATTCAACTGAAAATTGACCGAGAAAAAAATAAAGTTTCATCTATATAGATGAAAAATGACTGTCATTTTTTCTTGACAAGTTGTGACAGTCACAGAAGGGGGAGGGGGAATTGTGACAGCCGTCATGAACGCCTCGTCACATTACCGTCATATGACGGGTCATGTGACGCATTTGCATCTCTAATCAGGAGAGCAGGGTGCGAAGGTGAGGATCATAATTTGTGGGGTTTGTCTTTTTTTTTTCATCTGTGAACCATTTTTTTATGTTTCAGGGATTGGGGAGTGATTGAGGCAATCAGGAGAGGTGGAATTATTTTTATAAGGCCGATTTTTATAAGTGTCCGTTTTATACCCCACCCTCCACTACATCATATTCTGCTGGAAAAAATTCTTTTGTCCAGAATTTTGTTGAAATCATTTGATACCCCCGATAAAATCTCTGTTATTCACTATATCCTTTCCTAGATTTTTATTCTCATTCAACTATTCCGAATACATTTGCTGTACTTTCGTTCTCGCTAAGACTATTTTCAAGGATTTCGTGTTTCTTTCGTTCTTTCAAGAGCGAAATGAGAAAATCGTTTGCTATTTACTTGTCAGTTCACATGGTATAAAAATGTATTAGAATTTATGCTCAAGTTGTCTGTTCTCGTCGCTAAACTGCGTTAATGAGAGAGAAGGCAAGAAGAAATGAGAGATTAGAGGTAAACGTTTCGGCTCGCTTTCGTGACAGGAAACCGTTAGGGCGATTCCCCGGTAATTTCGAGGCGGCGCGTGTGCCATTGTTCTTGGGCGCAGGTAGAGATTATCGTTGTAGCCACGGTTACAAGCGCGATTGTTGAATAATCGACCTTTCAATTTTTCATCAATTTGCTATTCATTCTTTCTTAAAGTAGCTCTACACCTACGGCTGATTCACCCAGAAGTGGTTTGATTCAATATCAAATATGATACAAAATTTCAGATTTTCAACTTCCCTTTCATTTTTCATTAGAGAAGGGAATTTATATAGCGTTCCACATCTTTGTGACGTCATAAGAAATTAGTTGGATAGGATTTGGATGAGGTAGGAGGGGATCCGGGATTATTCTCAATATGAATTAGGGGAAGGTGTGCCCGTACCGCCCACCTAAGGGGAAATGCCAATTTTATATTTTATATTTCAACTTGAGGATAAAAAACGTATATGTGAGACTTATTTAACTATTGAACTCATTATTCTTGAAGTGTAGACGCCTAATTCTCCTTAGAATCCACAAAATTGATTGAAAATAAAAGAGAGAACCTATTGAGCGGCACTACCCGCCGTCGGGTAATACCGCTCGGCACGATTCCAATGCCGCTCATAGGGTTTTGCGTGTATCGCTCGCGCCGCAACCTAACCTGTACTCGAGTGCTGTCGAGCAACTACGTGGCCAATCCTATGAGCGGTATTACCGGCTCCGGTCGGCGTCAACAAAATTGTTAATAATTATTGACATGAGTGGAGTTTTGAGTTCGAATTGATCTCAAATTACGCGTGAAAGTACCACGAATCGAATAACCACAGTTTAATATGAGAATTCAGCGTTTGAAACTATCAAAAACCTTAATTACAAGTCCACAAATTTTGCACTGTAAAGACCTCAAAACTTCGTTATGTGTTTTTTCATATTTAAAGTGGTAAATAAAGTGAAATTTTTCCGACAATCACATCCTATCATTAAATTCTTCATGATCAGGAACAAAAAGAAATTTTTAAGTTCATGGTTGTGGAGAAAATCGGGTGAGCGGTATTACCCGCTGAGCGGTACAGACACACCCTCCCCTAACAAGAAATATTTACTGAAAAAAATGGATAGTCTCCTTTCTCCTTTACTCCTTTTAATAGCTGGGCGATTGAGGAAATGTTGAACTTCATTGATGGATTTAAAATCGATGAAGTAGCTAAATGAATAAAAAATGAGTTCTAGACCTGAAAGAATATATGAGTTAGGAAAAAACAATAATTTGAAGTGGAAAAAATGAAGAGAAGAATAATTAAATGAGGGAAAAGTGGAATACCATCCAAATCCCCAATAACTGGACGCTAGGGCCAATAGATGGACAGTGGATGGCCAATACATGGACGGTCCGGAGGAATATAGAATTTTCATCCAGTTTATACAAAGATGTGAATTTTGTTTCATTGAATGCGAAGAAATACAAGGCCAAATAGATTCTCAATCTTCGGGATGTGATTCTCCTCCTGAAAATATTGTGCTATTTCCCACATCTGACTCTTTCGGAAGAGAACTTCTTTTTTTTCTCCACGACACTTTGTCACTGATGCTTAGCAAATTGCAGCGCCACGCCACCCACCACTGTACCTCCCGAATATTTTTTTTTCTCGCTGTAATGTTGATATTTCGAAAAAAAACTTCATCACATGATTATACATAAGTATTATTATTGATAATGATAATAATCCGTGCAGTTTTCATTCTATTATTTATAGAATATTCAATAAAAGGTGGAATCGTGCAGCTATTGGTCTGTTCCCGGCAAATTTAGAAGATCAAAAAAGCCTTAAGTGTCCATTTTACCCCACTCACCCATAGCTTTATATCTAACGAGTCACTCAAAACAGTGTTACCAGATCGTGACGTCACCCCATTTAAAATTGTACAGGTTTTGGCTATAAATCGCCAAAATCTGGCAACCCTGACTCAAAATTGAATTGAGTAAAAACATCACCACTCTTAAAATTTTTAAAAAATATTCATATGACGTTTAAACCGAGAAATGAGATGTTAGACCATGGTGTGGGTACTTGGGGAGGGCTTAATTGAATCATAAAAGTTGGACGTGGGCGGAAGCGGATGCAATGACCTCTGAGCGCCTCTCGTCAGTTCAATTAGCAGGAGAAGAATAAATAAGTGTTTGATCATCGATTTGCAGTGAGAACCTTTTGCAACGAACCCAGGTGAAATTATCGGTTCAATGCACTGAGAGAAAAAATTTGTTCTGCCGAAGAATTGTATGTTCCCCTGACGAGATCTTTTGTCGCGTTGAATCAAGTTACTTGTCGAGAGCGAAAGCTCTAATGTTCGACTACAAAAGCAGAAGAGCATTTTATTGGAGAAGAAGTAGTTAAAGTACTTGGACATCCTTAATTGAATGATTGCATGAAAATCAGCGCAAATCTGAAAAATTCAGGTGAATTATTTATTCTTGAACCCTGAGTTAATTGAAAATTCAGTGTAATTCCGTGATTAATATTTATTTTGAACTTTCATTAAATTATCAGTTTTAATTATGTATGAAAAAATCCTATGGAGAATTCGAACATTTCCTGTAGGATTTTTTAGATACAATTTCGTATAGGATTTCCTATAGGATTCCTTGTCAGGTTTCTCCTATAGGATCCATGTGTGATTTTCAATAGGATTTTCTATCAAATTTTAAGGCCATAAGGGTCGGAATGAGGATCAAAACGGTCATATGGGGGTCACATGAGGGTCCATCACTTCCGTATGACTCCCACATGAACCCCAAAGAACCACCATATGACCCTCTCAATCCTCATTCTGACCCTTATGACCCTAAATTTTATCGAAAATCCTATTGAAAATCGTCGTATGAAATCCTATAGGAAAAATCTGATAGCGAATCCTATAGGAAATCTATAAGAAATCCTATAGGAAATCCTGTAAGAAATCCTATAAGAAATCCTGTAAGAAATCCTATCTGAAAAAATTATTCAAATTTTTCTGGGCCATATTTCGGTCAGCAGTAATAATCAACACAAAAAAAAATGTGTAAATTAGTTTAATTGCACGACGTTTCGAATGCACAAAGCATTCCTCTTCAGGTGCATTTATTATTCTAAATTAAAACAAAATTATGAAGATGTTCTTTGAGAATTCATTTCTAGCTGTCATCTGACGATGTAAACAAACAACCATATCTGTGTCATGTTAATCGGATGAAGTCTGACAGTATCTACCTAATACTGATATAAGGTAAACTCTTCGTCTTTATTTCTTGATATAAGTAAAGACGTACTTCTCAAAAAATTTTGTTTTTCTCAGTGTACTTGAGCGTTAACATTATACTCTAAAATTGCTGATTATTGAGATAATTGTATAATTCACACAAATTGGAGGTCTGATGATGAATAAATTCATCTCGTCATCGTTTTCATAATTGATAAATAATTTTATGAGAAATTATCAAGAGCAATTTCCCCAGTAAATTCAATTCTTCACTGAAAACGTATTTTACCATTTTATTTCAAAGTATTTCGTTCTCCCGAAAATCCCATAATCAACAAAAATATCAGCTTTGAGTTCCTATTTTAATGACTTCACTACTGAATTCAATCGACAAGAAAACGGTGTTGATACCGGGGCAAACGTCGCTGTTATTCCGAGATCGTTGCCGGGGATATAGGTTCACTGGATCGATGACCAGGGAAACGAGCACGAGTCAATGTGTCTCACTTCAGCCTGAATAAACTCCGACCAATTCTCCATAAAAACCCCCACCTTCTAATTCCAATCTCGCTGAATTATTCAGGAAGTGCTCATTTGGCTCACGGACGTAACTAAACCTT